CAGATGCGCGCGCAGACCTCTCTCTCTGAAACCGGAAATTCGTAGATGATTAGAAAGAGAGGTCTGCGCGCGCATCTGAATTTGCACGTAAAGTAGCAGAAACTTCTAATGTTTACGCATAAAAGTGAACAAAAATATTAAAATATTGTATAGAAATGTTTCGTGATGTACCATGTTTTTTTCGGAACCTTAAAAAAACCAGAGCGAAGATTTGTTTAGTGTTTGCCTCATTCAATTTCGTTTAGTCGTGCAAAAGTTATTCAATTATTATTTAATAACTTTTTTGTTTATAAAAATTTTTTATAAACATAATATAAAAAATGTTTTCGTTTTTTTATGCTGAATTTTTTCCAAAAAGAATTAAGTGATTTGGTTAAGATGGAAAGAAGATGTAACGATTTCAAAATTTTTCCAAAATTTTGACATCTCAAAAACTACTGAATATTTTGACGTAATATTTGGTGAAAATGTTTCTTTTTATGTGTAGATTGAAATTCCTAAGTTTCATTGCAATTGGTTTACTTACTCCGAAAAAACTAAAATCTCCCATGGAATCGCACTTATAGTAAATAATAAACTGGCGACCTACTACCAGCCCGACCCACTAAAACCCGTAACCCTTCTTTTGGAGCCCTTTACCCTCCCTCGGAACTGTCGCAAGACTTTAGCCTTCGAGGGAACAGACACAGGGTTGCCACAAAAACTGGAAAAACTGAAAATGTCAAAGAATTTTATAAACCTTGAAAAAACCTGGAAAAGTCAAGGAATGTTGATCGAAATCCTGTAAAATTGTTGTTTTCTAAAGTTATTGTGTTTATTCTTAAAATCTAATTTTACTTAAATATATTTCAAAATTAATTCAATTTTTAAAAAGTTGCATGTACAATTTTCATATGTAGATGAACTTCAAAAGGTTTTAACTTGAAATTTTGGTAAAATTTCAATTTTAGATGAATTTAATTAGAAATTTTAAAACACCTACATTTTTGAAAAAATTTAATAACTAAAATTCTTCTGAAATAGGTTAAATTTTTTAATATATATTTAATTGATTACTAGCAACAATTCACGTACTTACGCAAGCGGTTGACTTCTCACTCAGTTTTTTAAATAAAATTAGCAATTTTAAAAATAATTGAACGTAACAATTTTAAATTCAAATATTTTTTATAAAAATAAAATATGAATTGAAATATATAGTTTTAATATTATTATAATTATAATAATCATATATTCTGACGTAGGGAATTCAGGGAAAAGTCAGGAATTTTGAAGAAGTTACAAATGATTGCAGAAATTCAATTATTTCCAAAAGTAATAAAATTCTTATCACAAAATGCAATTATGTTTAAAATTTACAAGAGAATCTCGACATAATCCTAATTATTATCTTTATAAATAAAAAAATTCTTCTTTAAAATTCAATTAATTTCAAAACTTTTAATAAAACTCTTGTCAAAATTTCAATTATTTTCAAAAATTTCCGCATTTCAATGATTTTCAATATCTACTATTTTAATAAAATTACTCTAAAGAATTCAATTATTTAAAAACAATTTTAATAAAATTGTACGCAAACATTTAATTATTTTCATAAATAATAAAAATTTCACAGGAATTCAAATATTTACAAATTTTAAGTTTCTTCTCAATAATTCAATTATTTTCAGAAATAATAAAACTCATCGCAGAATTTCAATTATTTTTAATACAATTTTAATCGAAATCCTTAAAAAATGTAACTATTCTAAAAATTTCTATTAAAATTCCTCAAAAGAATTCAATTATTTAAAAATTTGTTAATAAAATCCATTATAAGAATTAAATTTTAAGAAACATTCAATTATTCAATAAATAATTTACTTTTGTATTTAAATAATTTAATTCTCGTAGAATATTCTAATAAAAATTGATTTGAAAATGAATTTTAGTTTAAATTTTAGATAATAATGAAAATAATTTCTAAGAAGTTACAGTAACAAAATTCTTATAATATAAAATAATGAATTTAACACTCGATCTTGTTTTATAACAATATTTTTAAAGTTGATTAATTTCAAAAAGCTTTGAATTTGAAATTTTTGAAAATCTTAATTCCTATAAAAAAATAATAATAATTAAACATTTAAAATATTTAAATAAGAAATTATTGGGTCAGTCCATTATATTTCACCTGAAGCCGTTGCGGCCTATTTTTAAAAAAATCTCATAATTTGTAAAAATGATGTTTAATATCCATAGAATTCATTTTTGAGAATTCTTTTATAAAATTTTTTGAATTAAACTTAGAATTTTAATTTTTAAGTTGAGTTGCACAGTAAAAAGGTTAGATTGACAGTTCTGATAATTTAATAAAAAATCATGGAAATAATTTAGATAATACAAATTTCTTGATTGATATTTGTTAAAAATGAGCTAATTTACTTGTATAAATAGATTATTATGTAAACATACCCAAAATAATAGATAAAAATTGATTTTAAAACTTAACTATAAAATGTCAAAAGTCACTACATTTTATTTACACTTTTCTAAAAAGTTTATAAATATTAAAAAATTTATTACTACATAATGTAAAGTACTTTCAATATACTTTCATATTATGTGCTAACTTTTTAATTTTATAATAAAGAAATATGAAAAATTTTACCTTTAATATTGAATGTTTCATGATTTTCAGTGATTTTAATCACTTATTTCTTCTCAGGTGCAAGACCAAAAAATCCCATTTTTGTCTTAATATTTAAGTTTGAACTTCTTTTCCATTCTATTAAGATTTGGTGGTGGAGAACGAGCTACTTTGTAGTTTTATTCATGTTTAAAAAATCTGCTTCCAAAAGCGAGTTTGTTGGTTAAAATGCAGGTAATTTTATAACACTGAAGTTGGCTATCTCAATAGTTTTGCAAAAATCTACTTGCATTTTAACCAACAAATTCGTTTTTTCAGCAGATTTTTTAAACTGAAAAGTAATTTGTTCTGCATCACCAAAATTTAATAGAATGGAAAAGAAGATCAAACTTTAATATTAAGACAAAAATGGGATTTTTTGGTCTTGCACCTGAGAAGAAATAAGTGATTAAAATCACTGAAAATCATGAAACACTCAATATTAAACGTAAAATTTTTTATATTTCTATATTATAAAATTAAAAAGTTAGCACATATTATGAAAGTACATTAAAAATACTTTACATTAAATAGTAATAAATTTATTAATATTTATAAACTTTTTAGAAAAGTGTAAATAAAATGTAGTGACTTTTGACATTTCATAGGTAAATTTTAAAATCAATTTTTATCTATTATTTTAGGTATGTTTACATAATAATCTATTTATACAAGTAAATTAGCTCATTTTTAACAAATATTAATCAAGAAATTTGTATTATCTAAATTATTTCCATGATTTTTTATTAAATTTTCATAACTGTCAATCTAACCTTTTTACTGTGCAACTCAACTTAAAAATAAAAATTCTAAGTTTAATTCAAAAAATTTTATAAAAGAATTCTCAAAAATGAATTCTATGGATATTAAACATTATTTTTACAAATTATGAGATTTTTTTAAAAATAGGCCGCAACGGCTTCAGGTGAAATATAATGGACTGACCCTATTGTTTTCGAATAATTTTAAAATTTAAAGATATTCGTAAATAAATTTCACAGAACATTTTTTTCAATAAATTTTTCCTTTATTTTCTAAAAATTCAAAATTTTTCAGTTTCATTTCCAATTAAATTTTCTAATTGACAAATATAATTTATAATGATTTTTTTCCTTTATTTTTAAAACACTTTGAATTTTATTAAAAGAATTAAATTATTTTCAAAAATTTTATTAAAATTCTTGGTAACAATTCGTGTCAAGAATTCAATTATTTTTAAAAGTAATATAATTCTCCGCATACATTCAATTATATTCAAAAATTTACAAAAATTCTCGTCTTTCAATTATCTTTATAAATAATAAAATTTTTCTCCGAAATTCAATTATATTAAAAAATTTTAATTAATAAAATTCTTGGCAGAATTTCAATTATTTTTAATGCAATTTGCATTAAATTTCTCGAAAAATGAAATTATTCTTAAAAATTGTATGAAAATTTGTCCAGAGAATTCAATTATTTAAAAATTTGTTGATTAAATTCTTTATAAAAATTAAATTTTAAGAAACATTCAATTATAATTATATATTGAAAGCATTATATGTAGTATAGATTTTTAGAAATAATAGAAATTTCAAAAGGTTTCAAATTAAAATCTTTGAAAATTTTGAAATTTTTATACTATTAATTAAAAATTCTGTAGAATTAATTTTTTTCAAAAAGTTTAAAGGAATTTTTTTTTAATTATTTGAAGTTTTTAATTTCTAATAATTTTAATTGAAGAATGTCAGAATAATCGAAATTCGTAAAATTAAATTGTAAAAAAAAGGATTTGAAAATTCTTAAAGAACTTTTTCAAAAATTATTTTTAAAAAAATGAAGAATTTTAGTTGAAAATTCTAGAAATGCATAATCGAAATATTGAAAATAATTATTGAAAAAGTTACAGTAACAAAGTATCAAGTTTTAATTATTATATGTTGTTGAATTAAAAATTTTTGAAAATCTTAATTTCTATGAAAAAATAATAATGATTAAATATTTAATTAAAAATAAGACTTTTTATAGTCAGGGAAATAGTCAAAGTTTTGTCTGGAAATCGGGGAATTATTTAAATTGGTAAAATATAAATGTAATTTAAAAACCTGGAAGAATTCCGTTTTTTAACCTGGAAAACCTGGAAAAGTCAGGGAATTTGAAAAGAGCAAAAGCGTGACAACCCTGCAGATAGGAAATTCTTTCGTTAATTAATATTTTTCAATTAACAACCAACGGCTACTCGAGCAAATGAAATTTTAAACGAAGAAAAACTTAAGTAAATACATTTTTGGTAAATGAAAATTCAAGTAGACGAATTATAACTAAATTAAAAAGTTTATAAGAGAAAAGATTATTTTTGTTTTTAAAGGACTTTTTATTACCTTGTCTTTTTTTTATAAAAATGTTACCTTAATATAAAATTAATTTTGATTATTCTAAACTTTCTTTATTGTGTTTCCCTTTCTTCTTTATGATAAGTTATTTACTTGACGCCTTTTTGATGGGTGCTGCATTTTTATTTTTCAAATCAATTAGAACCTGTAAAATAAAATTTAATGAAATATCTAACTTTTTAATTTCAGATAAAAAGTCTCGAATTATCAAATATAGATTTAAATATAAAAACAATCCTGTGGAATGATTTTGGAAAACATGTTAAGTAAACCCTTACCTTTCCAGACGATTTCTTATCAGTAACCGACTTCATTGCCTCATTAATTTTGTAAAGACCTACTATTAAGGAATAAGACGGTTTGATAAGTCCTTCTTCAAAATAAGATAAAACTTCCTCCCCAGCTTGACTGTGAAATAAAATAATTCGGATTATCAGATATTTATCGATGAGACTCTTATACAGAGTATGTTAAATTACAAGCCTTCCCTCTTACCGATATAATTTATAGTTATTCTTCCGATATTCTCGAAGGTTGATTCCTGTGACGCTGAAACCACTCTCCGTATTATCATATTGCGATTCTCCTTTCATTTCGGCTATACCAGCAACAACCAGTTTTCCTTTAAGATGGGATCATGTACTTTTTTGTAAATCACAATACATACCTACAAAATCATTTCTATTCTTTACCTTCACGCGACAAGTGCTGTACTACGGTGGCAAAATTGTCGTCCCTCAGCATATCTTTTGACAGCGTTTTAGTATTATAGATATTGGTGAAGCTAAAATTGTAATTTTAATATCAAAAATATTTGTATTCAACATTAAATCATATTGAGGAAAAATTTATACTTATCGATTAGCAATAATTCTTTATTTGAACTTGCAACAGTAATATCAAAATAATTTACAATTTTTTATAAATTGTATTATATTATGACAAAGGAAAATTCCACAGTGCCAGTGCATATACTATTATATTTAATTTTAACAATATTTATTATTTGCTAATATTTAATTCAGCATATAACTGCAAAAAATATAAATTATAAATATTTATAATACTAACCAATGCAACATATTTTTAAAACGTTCTCCTTCATTGTCTTCGAAGATATCATGGATATTTAGTTCTTTCGCGATTTCTTTAATCTGGCTCATTAATTTTTTTTCGCTATATTTAAATGCAGCGAATGCTCCTTTCTCTTCTCTAACCAAATTTGCTGTTTCCTCAGAAGCACAAACTCCAATGGCCTAGAAAAATCTCGTCATTCATATTTGAAGAAAGTAAGATTAAAAAGAGAGTATAAAGTATTAAGCCAAAATTAATAAGCATAATATATCATGCTGCACTTTTTTAATTGTCTTGTAATTTTTTAATGTTAGAAAAAAATTGTAACAAGTAAAATATTAAATTATATTGAAAAAAGAAATGCAATTTTTGAATGTATTTGCAAAATACATTCAAAAGTATGTAAAATTTGTAGACAGGCAACATAAAATAAAATAATATGTATGAGTAAACCTTTGTTCTATAAACATTTGTGGCAACATCGACAGCCGCGAGACCTGCTCCTCTCAATCCAACATTAATTAATGCTGTATCATTTTCTTCAAGTGCTCCGCATTCTTCAAATGCAATCAAAGCAGTCATATAGTTTTCCATTAAACTTACAGCGTCTATTGATTTAATCGATGATGGTACTTTCCAAATATCCTTAAATTTATTAAAAAACATCTTTCAATACATGAAAATGTTATTTAATTTCATGATTTAATTCAATTTATATTTTCAATAAATGTATAATTATTAAGTCTGCTCCATTAATATCATATAAAAGCTATATTAAATCTTTGAGGTAAGATATTATGAGATTTGAGATAATACAATTTCCTGGGAATGGTCAATTTCACTGCCAGATATATCGGAAATCGCTCAACAATTTTAGAACCCACTCATAGTTTATTAAAAAATAACTTAGTTTATATATAACTGAGTTTACAAATAACTGAGCAAACTTGCTACAAATTTTCACAGAAAACTTGCAGAAAAGTTGTAACAAACTTGCAGCAAACTTTCTGAAAACTTTAAAAAAACCTTTTTGTATTCAAAATGTATGTCTTTTGTGAAATGTTGCCTTCCCTCTTTAGGAAGGTGACAAAATATAGTGCGCAGCTCTATATGTCACAGAAAACTACTGCACAGACATTTTAATTTACCTTGCCACGCAGGTTTTCTGCAAGTTTGCTCCGCAAATTTTACACCGAGCAGATACAAGCTGTAGATAAGATAAATTGAAAAATGAAAAAATGCTAGATGAATTGGTAAATCAAAACACATTTTTAAGTAATGAACTTCAAGATGCACTGGTAAATCGCATAAAAGAAAGACGTTCAGTTTATTCTGATGTTTTACAATATCTCTCTAATCATGACACAAGAAATTCTAAAGAAGGGCTCATTCACATATTACGTGATAGATATTTTAGGTATTTTAGACCCCCTGTGTGTGATACTTTTTTTATAGTTTAGTATAGCAAATTTGTTAAAGCGTCCCTGGTAAAAATTTCGGACTAATTCATTAGCATTGCCAAAATAAAATGATTGATTATCTAAATTCTATAAAAAATAATCAGTTCCTTAACTCCTTGAAAGGCAATGGGGCGTATACGTCCCACCTTTTATTATATGCAGTATTTTTCAATTGTGTGGCACATTTAGCTATCAATGTTCATATATAATTTATTTAAATTTTTTTTAAATATATGCCCGCTTGACCTTAATAATGAGCCTCCAGATTAGCAAACAAATGGGTTCACTATGGAGACGCATATATGCGTCGGATAATAATATGCGAATAGCACGAATGAAGGCAAACTGCAAGCATCGTGCGAGCATTGAATGCTTTCTACAGCTTGCTAGCTTGCAACACACATGAGTGCACAATGACTGCAAGATTCGATCGTATTGTGACTTGCATGACGTGATTGCGAAATGAGTTTTAATACGATTTATTTTGACTTAAACATCTATATCTGTCAAATGCAAAGTATAGTTGAACTATTTATTATGTATGAAAGTAGGTAGTAAAAATGGCTTTTAAAAACCACTTGTCTAAGTACATTTGTAACAAAAACATTTGTCCAGCGGTACTGAGACATTTAGATGGTGATGCCAATGAAGCAAAAATCGAAACCTCTATTGGGAGACGTGATGAATTTAATAGACCACCTCTTAAAATTGGAAATGAAACTCGATTATGTCTAAACACACTACAATCGATGTGTTATGGAAGAAATACATGTGTCAGGATAAAGAAATCCGAAGGTGATCGGGGCTTGCAGTTATCACAAGTGGTAGGATGTTTGGAGGATTGGAGCCAATATCAACCGACCCTGAACTCGATCCTCCGTTCGAGGTTTGACATAATTTCTGGCGAGGTGGTTATATGATAGTGTAAGGTGCTGTCGATAACTTCACCAAGGTTATTCCTTCTCAGCATCCGCTATTCCTGACTGTTTCTGAATTCTCGCAGATGTTTGATGGTGTGACTCTGATCTCTCCAAATGAACAGATCAACATATCAACTGCGGAGCAGGTTACCCCTAATATACACGATTGGTGGAGCAAGACGCCCTCAGGCTCTAATATTGTTGTCCCTAGTGGAACCGAGAGCTCTATAGTACCAGTATCAGCGAATAGAGGAATTACGGAAGTTGGACCATTATCTTGAAGGTCTTCCAGAGGAATTGGTCCAAGATAGATGGATTCGATTTTTCAAGGTATTAAAGTCGCGGAAAAATTAGCGGCTTAATACACCTTTCACACAAGTTCTGAGTTTTTTGTTCTTTATATTTGATTTCATATATTTTCTTTGGTTTATTACTATGCTTTCTTTAGTTTTCTATGTATGAGAAGATGTTGCAGTAATACTTTGTAACGAAGTGTTTCATTACTTACTCGGCCTAATTTGCAATGTGTAGGAAAAGCATTTTCAGAGTTTAGAGAATCGTTTGTTTGTCTCTTTCTTATCAAAGGTCTGTCTCGTTTGTTGTCAAGTCTCTTGTATATTCCTTTCGTATCAGCGTGTGAGGAGCTGTGGTTTTCGTGAAATCAGAATTTAAATGATTTTGCTCATGATTAATTGTCAGCGTACGTCATATGGTCAGCGACCCTTTCCAGGTTTATTTCAGGTGCCGTTCCGTGGGGATAAGAAGAAGTGTTCTTCAGAAAATTGCAAAGGAAAAACAAGGAAACGATTTTGATAGCGAGAAAGCCTACTGGGGACATTCAGATGGTTTGACACTTACTTGCGGGTTTCCGAGAAGTCGTGACGCGGTTTTTGACAAGTGTCAGAATCGAGAGATATTTGAGAGTTTGATTTCTTATTTTGTAATTTATTAATTATTTCGAGTTTTGAGTTTTATTAATAAATAGTTGTTTGTGTTAATGATGTGTTTTAATGTGTTTTGCGTTCATTGTGGACCGTAGGAGAGTGCCAGAGAATAGAGAATATTGGTAGCGTCTGAACGGTCGTGTTTGAAAAGTTCGTTTGGTTGTTCGTTGTCCAGTTGACCGGTTTGCATCACGGCATCGTCTTGGAAGAATTCCCCGATGAGATTTTGTGTTTTTGAGGAAGCTGTAGTTTCGAGTAGCAGAGTGTTTTTTGGACGCGATTCAATGCAAGTGTTTCGAGTTGAATATTGAAATATATTAATTTGATTCATCAGTAATCTCTACGTCACAACTTAATAATCAAATATCGCGTTACAATTAAAAATAATCCTGTTGCTGTCGGACTGATTGTTTTAACTCAAACTGCGAGTCGTAGTTGTGTCATTTGCAATGCTATCGACAATGCTCATATTCTTCCAATCGAGTGCAGAGTTAATGTTTTCGTTTCTCAAAATATTTTCGTACCAAAAGGTGTTCGATCCTGTCAAAATCATTTAAATAACAACGGTATTTTTCCTATCAACTAGGCTACTCGTTCATCTCGCAATTGCAACAGTGCATCAATCCTTAATGTTAATATTTTTACCACAAAATCTGGGACTAAGGTTTATTACATCAGAAGAATTTGTAGCAAGAAATGTTAATTTGCTAATGAAACCTAAAATATCCCAAAGTTATCGTATGGAAGAAATAATTTTTTTTCTTCAGTGTACTAATGTACTGCTATATCAAATTTGTCTTGACTAATTAATTTCTTGTAGGAAAAACACACTTGAAAAGGTTCCATCTAAAAGAGTATGAGACCATCACGGGGCTGACACGCACTGCAAAAAGGCAGTCTACAAGTTGACCGTGCGACTGAGATGGCGCTGGCAGTCCAGTAGTCTGACTGCTATTTGTTTACAAAGCGATTCAAATGAATTCCGTTAATTTTAATTGTTCGTCCGTTATTTTCATTATTTATTAATAATCCTAATAATTGAACAATGAAGAAATGTGTTTGTGTTGGGTGCAAATCAGGGAACGACTCTGTAAAGGAAAAGTATCACTTTTTCAGTGCCAAAAGAAAAAAATAAAATAAAATTATGGCAAATTGCTATTTTACGTGACGACATTAAATTAAAAGCTGGCCACGCAGTTTGGGAAAAAACATTTTCTGCCAGAAGATATAATTTGGGAAAGATTAACTTATGCTGCTGATGGAGTAACAGTTTTAGGAAGGGTACGTATATTATATTTATCTATACAGTTTACATTTCTCCAAACATTTTTACTTTTAATATTTTCACCTGCTTTAAATATTTGTCTTTTATTTTCCTTAATTCTCGTATTAAATTGACAATTTTATCAAATATGTTATTATTTATTTTTCTTTTATTTATATGAGAATTTTCTTTCTTCAAAATTTTGATTTTAAATTAATTGTGATTGAAAAACTTAATATTTTTAAAGTATAGAAATAATAAAAATAATCTAATTTCCTCATTGACATTTAAATTTAATAGTGATAGGAAGATATTGTAATAAATATTCAACTTATTTTATTTAAAAAAGTTACACTTAGTATATTAATATAAATGCTGATATTATTTTTCAAAGAAACAAAATTTTCTTGTTATTCAAATCTTATGAAACCTGACATTTTCACAAATAAACCTAAATGTATTTGCAAATACGTAATTAATGTGAACAATAATATTAAAGGAGAGTACGATACTACGTTTTATTTATTAAACTTAATTTCATTTTCTAAATCGATTCAGCCCGTAAATTTCTAAAAATAAATAATATCAATTAATTTTATAATAATTTTCGTTGAAATTAGTTGTAATATTTAAGATTTGCAAAAAGCCTAATTATTAATAAAATATAAAAAATGTACTTAAATTTTAAACTTTTAAATTAAAAAATTAGTTAAGATTTTACTTTTTATCCCATTGTAAAATTTACAAATTTTTAAATATATTTAATATTTATAATTTATTTTAGAGCGTATACAAAAGGCCGAGACTCAGAGAAGGTGCTTTGCCCAAATTACAACTTGGTCGTCCGGAAAAGCCTGTTAAAAGTCGCAAAAAACCTAGAGAAAAATGGGACGTGAATAACAATTCGTTGAATGAAAACCAGAAAACTAGTCCTATTGATGCTGAGGTTGAAGTACAAAATGTTATTGTTGAGGATAATAATTCAACAATTGAAAATTCCGAACGAATTGACGCAGAATCAACCAGAGCTGAATTATTTAAAAAAATATTTACAAATGATAAAAGTATTTCGTTTCCAATCTCGTGGGGTCGGACAAACTTCTCTTGGGGTGCAAATGACGATCGTGCTATTACCATACACAAATTGATTGGCAGAAAAAATAAAAACGGTCTTGTTGAACCTTTTTGTCAACAAGCAATTACAATCGATGAAAAAATGATTCCTACAATAAAAATTAATGGAACTAGCATGGATGTTAAAGATTTTGGATTTGAAAGTGAATTTTTAAACTCGGCTGAAGATTTAGAAAATTTGATAAGAATAATAAATCAGCGCAGAGTGTGCCAAGGTTGTCCTAATTTAGAGTCAACAGGAATTGAGTATCTTTTAAGTCCTTTCAGTTTCATTGACAAAACAGACATCTGGCATCATAAAAAGTGTAATTTGTTATTACCACTCGAAAATAATGGATCGAAAACTTGTAAATGTTGCGCATCAATTAAAAACTTATTGAATAAAAAAATTATTCGTCGCCAACATAATAAAAGAAGCTCATACATAAGAACCACAGATTTGAGTCCGACAAAAAAAAACAAGAATTTTGTTCTTAAAAAGAAAATGGCTGTATGAAAAAAGAGCGAAAAAACGTGCTCAAAGACAAAATCGATTATTAAAAGAAATTGTTCGGAAATCTCGAAACGAACTGTTGTCTATTAAGGAAAATTCTTTAAACAATATAATCGATAAAGAGGAACAAATTAATAAAAACGAGAAACTCGCAATCATTAAAATTCTTTAGGCTGCGCAAACAAAAAATCCGAAAAACCGTAAATACTCTGATGAATGGCTTATTTTGTGTGTAATTTTACACAAGAGATCTCCAGTCACTTATCGAATGATAAGAGACCTAAAAATTTTGCCTGTTCCATGCGATCGAACTATTCGAAGGTAATTATATTGAGAAGTTTATAACTAAAGTTTGAACTCGATTTAATCAATTTTAAATAAATAAAAATAATTAATAAATATTTACATTGCATAATTAATAAATTCTTTAAGTTTTTAATAATGAGTCTTTTTTATAGATACTTAGAACAAATGGAATGTCCTTGTGGTTTCGACCCAAAGTTCTTTCAACTTTTAAAAGACCATTTTGCGAATAAGTCGGAAAAACAACTGCACGGTGTCTTACTTTTAGACGAAATGTCTACCAGGAAAAATTTATTGTTGGACAAAAAAAGTATGACATTTAAAGGTGTGGCTGATTTCGGCGATAATATTCCAAAGAATATTGAAACAGAAATGGCTGATCACGCCCTTGTCCTTATCTTTCAACCATTGTACGAAGATTATTCCCAACCTATAGCAGTGTTTGCATCGCATGGACCTACTCACGGCGACAAGTTATCTACTATAGTTGTACATGCTCTAATTTTATTAGAAAATTGCGGAGCTAAAATTCATGGTGTGGTGTCAGATGGAGGTAGCGCTAATAGAAATATGTGGACCAGGATGGGTTGCAGCGGGAAAAAAAACTGCTTCAATAATTCTTTTCAGCATCCTTTAAGTGAGAAGCGAAAAGTTTTCTTTTTCTGGGACACTCCTCATCTTATAAAGTGCATTAGAAATAGACTTGCAAATGAAAAAGTGTTAAAGGTAAGCTTATTTCTAAATATACTTTTAGCAAAATATTTTAAAAATTTTTAATTAATTTACTTCAGATTCGAAAATTTATTAATTATAGGTGGACCCAGATGCGGATGAAATAAAATGGGAGTATTTCAAAATTATGCACGACTGGCTTTGGGAATAATTAAATTAGTAACGATCATCTTGTCCGCGCTAACGTAACGTAACAACTCGACATTTTAGATCTCAGTAAACAATTATAACGATTACTAGCGAAACGATAAACTATTTATATATGAAGTAGAATTTATCACTCGAAGTTGACGACGTCAACTTGAAGGCCCACACGTGCCTTCAAACACGATTTTGATCGTTTCTGATGAGGACGATTGTTATCATCGAAACGTTAAAAAGAAGTTATTTCTCTTTTTATTTGACTCGGAAAGAATAATTTTTTCTCACATAGATAAACTATTTAATTCACTAGCGTTACAGTTATTTTATTGTTTAAATTACTTACTCGATTAATCTCTGATAGAAAATTAGCGAACGATATTCTATTATTAGTATTTCTAAGATTTATTTTGTTATTCTAAATTTATTTCATTTTGTCGCTCATTTTTTTGTTATTTTATTTGTTATTATACTATTCTTACGAAGGTTTAATTAATGACTACACCTTTACTCTAAATCATAGTATAAATCAGTCAGTCAGACAATTATTGTCTGCTAAACTAAGTACCCGGACTACATCCGGCGAGCAAATCCTTTGGCAACAAAAACCCAGATCATTAGTTTATTTACTCCAAAAATATAAATTTCACTTGGAATCGCACCTTAATATAACAATTACACTGTAAAGAAAGGAGTTAAATTTTAATTCCCCAGTGGATTCTATAAAAGTCGCACCCATTTGAGAGTTAAAATCCATTTGGGAGTTAAAATTTACACAGTAAACATGACAAGTTATTAAATTAACTCTGTTTTGAAGTTAATTATTGAATGAAGTAAAAGAGAACTTACGCCAACTTCAACAACACATTGTTCAGCAAATCCCCCAAAACGTTCTTTATTTAAAGCAACTACTTTGTCATCCACTTTATAACCTTCTGCTTCAGCCTCTGTTCCTACTTGAATAATCTTTCCAACTAGCTCATATCCAAGAACAAGAGGCGGTTTAAGTTCTGAGTTGTAAACGTTTTCACTAAGCAGTACATCCGGTCCGTTACAGGCACAGTAACTCACATCAATAAGTACCTACACAAAAATTTAATTCATTTTATTTTACTATAACAGCAAAATATTTAGTAAAAGAAGCAATATTAACAATATCACAAATTTTTTATATTGGATTTTTCTTGGAAAACAACATAATTTTAAGGTATCAGTTGAATAAATCTATTTCATAAGTAATATTCAAACTTAAAGTGTTTGTATTTAAAATATATTATTTATAAATTCTTACAACTTTTTAAAAGTAATATTATAATTAAATTATTCTTGTTTTAAATATAAATTTTTTGACCAGGCATGAAGGACAAATGATATTATAATTTGCGCTTTTCCGACATATTCAATATTCGTACTTTATGTTTATTTGTTCTAACTCTGATATTATCGAAGTTCAGAAGATCGTTCGCTCGCCTTCTGTTGAAGAACTAGCACCAACAGAGACTTCGCTTGCCTTCCTATACTCCAATTCCTGTCCAAGATGTTTCATTTACCTCAATTCCCGAGTGACCCGGTACCCAGATCAATGAAAATTTATTTACTGAACCCAACTCATCTAGTGCGCTACGTCTGGCATTCCCAGACGAGTTTCGATTCTATTGTGAAATTTTTCAGAGCCTCTAGGGCCGCCTGACTATCCACACACATGCTAATCCTTTTGCCCTTTATTCCCTTTCGAATGAACATTTGGGTACAAGTTAAAACTACACAGATCTTAGCCTGCCGAACCGTTGCATATTGACATTATTTTCAATAAATTCCGAAACCTGCACCGCAGTCCATCTTGGAGCCTTCCTTCTTCCAGCCCATTCAAGAATGATCTTATTGGGGACGGTAATCTAGTAACAATCTATTAACTTTGAACCTTTCTCTCCCCTGCCGGAAGAATGGACTGAAAAAGTACTAAAATTGTACTGGCCTCCAGTACAAATTCAGTCCGTTTTTTTAATGTTTTGGTAGACATTTTTAAAGTCCTTAAAGGCCAACGCAGAATAGATCTGTAACCGGAACCGCAATCGTAACCGTAAGCGTATGAATGAGTTAGAGAAGGATAAACAATATACCTATCCTTCTTTAACTCATTCTTACGGTTACGCTTACGATTGCGGTTCCGGTTAGAGATCTATTCTGCGTTGGCCTTTAACAATAGTTTCAAATGTATAGGTTATGTCAACAAACCATTGTTAACAGTCTGGAAGTGAAAATAAAAAAAAGGTTAACAAAATTTTCAACGAAATTCCCGTTAAATTTTAAACTTATATTGCCTCTGTTTTAACAATAGACCCGAAAGCCTATTGTTGTATGGCATTATAATTTTATGGCTTAAAAAGTTTACAATTTAAATAATTCAATTTTCAAAACAAAGAATTTAAATCTGTGATGTTTTATGATTACAAATATCTAAAATTCATTATAAAAAATGTTTAATTAAAAAAGTTTATGAAAAACAAATATAATGTTGAAATATAAATAAAAATTATTTGTAACATTAAACATTTAACATTAAATTATTTTTAACATTAACAAAGAAATATTCGTCCTTCAACTTAATGACGGTCAGGCCATAAACATCACCTATAGCGACCCTTTTGCAGGTTATTTTTCCCAGTACAATTTTAGTGCTGAAACGCAGCAAATTCTCACTGAAATAGCACTGAGCTCTCAGTACTAATTCCCCAATACAATTTCAGTCCATTCTTCCGGCAGGGTCCTCTATTTTGTTTTTTCTTCCCTTTCTAACCTGTTAATTAAAGAGGTTTAAATTTCATTCTTTTTATCATTCTATCTTGCGCCATACTTAATTCTGGGATGGATAGAATTGAACGTGGAAGTTTGGTGTGTTTACCAGCAGACTTCCACTTTCCATGCGCGGCTAGCCTAATCATAATGAGAGTCGTCTTTTTCACCGCAGAAATATGCAGAGGTTCTTCCACCAGTATGAAGCCTAACGCAGCTGTTAGCGTGGTCCTCATAGCTCCCGTAATACCCCTGAAAATCATTGCTTGCAGTTGGTCCAGTTTCTCTTTAACCGTTATCAGTTGAGTCCTAGACCACCAAACAACCACCGCGTAAAGAAACCTTGATTTTAAAATCATCTGATAGAGCCAATTGACCATGTTAGGTCTCAGTCCCTACGATTACCCTATCGTCCTTCTACACATCCAAAAAACAGTACAGAACCTTCTATACTGATATTCGAAATGTTCTTTCCAACTCAGCCTTTTGTCCATGATTACTCCCAGATACTTAGCCAATTCGGAAAAAGAAATTTCTTTTCCATAAAATATCGGTTTCTTTAACCTGGGAATTTTATATTTTTTGTGAAAACTACTATCTTCGTTGTCTCTGGGTTTACAGAAAGTCACGTTAGATTGCACCAATCTTTGACAATTTTAAGTACACTTTTTGTAAGTTCCAAGAGGATCCAATAGATTTCCCTCTTACAATTATAAGGAAATCATCTGCATAACTTTGTGCACAATATCCCGGTTGGTTATTGAGATTTCTAAGCAACTCATCTGCCACTAAGCACCACAACAAAGGAGAAAGAAATCCTCATTTTGTGTGCACCTGTTTGAGACAAGGCCTGTTACCCTAGCCTCATCATATTCTGCTGTTACCTTATTATTAAAAAAATCGATTTTTAGTTTATTGTGCTATTCGATAGATATTTATTTGCTCTTTCCCGTGAAAAAATTAGAAGTTGATAAACTGAAATAGTTTTAATAATATAAAGCTCAAATCACGAAAGAACAGGTTTTTTACAGAAACCATACCTCGATCCATTTTTGATCTACAATGCTATTTTTTTTAATTACTCATAATGTTATACACATTCTTCTTTTAATAACTATTTTTACGCTAAAATGGCATGAAAGGCGGTAGTTTGCAGAAAAATTATTTTTGCACCTATTCCCTCCATGTACGCTCTTTCCCGGTTTATACTTGTCTAACTCCCACTATTCTCTTAAATTTCCCCCTTTTTGCCGTCCGTAGCCGACTTTTTATTAGAAGTACTCGTATTTACCTGACGCTTTCTGGTCCCAATAAACAATGGGTGGGTTTTTTTTCTATTTTTAGTGTCACTCTGAAGATAAAAAACGATTTTCGTTTAAAAAATCAGCTATTTTGTTATTGCAAAATTAATAATTGTTCAAAAAAGTAAAAATATGCAGAATATATTTGGGGAATAATGTCATCGATGCCAGATCCATAAAGAGGATTCATCAAGATAATCTAGAGTATCTTTTTGCATTTGTCTAATATTAAAAATCAGGCCCCTAGCAATTGCTTCATCGAAAAAATACTTTATGTCAGTAGGTGATTATAGTTTGTGATTAAGCGAAAGAATTTTTTGAAATTGTAATTTTTTTACAAAATACAGGGCGAAACTTTTAAATTTTCATTTTTTTAAAAACACTACGTTCAATCGATAGCCTTACTCACCCACTAACAGAAAATATTTTTTTTATTTTCGATGAAGCAATCAAAACATATAATAGTGTCCACAGTAAAATAAAAAATGTATATTATATTTTATAAAAATAAATTATAAAGAAAATTCTTGTCGTATTGACCCATGCAACCCCCCAAGATACACATTAAAAATTTAAACATACATGTATGCTTAAAATATATGAAATTAGTATTACAAATTTTTGTTTTATAGTTCGAATTGTTATGTCAAAAGATTGACAGTTAATTTGTAAATAATAAAGTAAGTGGAGTAGAAAAATTTAACCCCAATTTCAAAAACTCAATAAAGAGGTACAATTGGAATTTTAAAAAATAATTAATTACTCTATGAATTAGGTATTTATTTTTGTATTTAAATAATTGAAATCCGATAAGAATTGATAAATTTACATGTAATAAATAATTTATTTAAGAATTTGTAAAATTTTTTTTTTTTCATTTTTATTTCAAAATGGCGGCGATATACGCCATTTTTTAAAATGCCCATTTTCGGTGGTAAGATCGATTCCAAACTTTCTAAAACTGATAAAACCAAAAACGAAGTGACATTCTCTTCGCTAGATATTTCTTTAGGTGTGGAACCTCAAAAAAGTGGAATTTTCTTCCCCTCCTTTTTTACATTCTCATCACATGAGAAAGTATTAGTTTTGGTCGAAAATTGACTTTTGATAATTTTATGAAATCTTTACGTTTTGAGGTCCCCTGAACCCGAAAAACATGGTCCGGCGAGTCCGTCTGTCTGTGTGTCTGTCTGTCTGTCTGTCTGTATGTATGTATGTCCGTCTGTAGACCAAAATGTTGTTGACACAATAACTTTTAAAAATCTTATCTGATCGTTTTTAAATTTAACACACTTAAAGTTGGTGTAAAAATGAAGGTTAAGTTCGTTAACGAGCCATTTTCGTTGAAAACTACAAAAACTACGGTAGTTTCAAAATTTTGAAAACTCAATTTTTTCAAATTTCAGAATTTTTAACTTTATATTATTTTAGATTAGGAAAATACAAACAACTTTTCTCTACAACATTTTTTTTAAAAAACTTTTTTTTTTTTTTTTTTTTTTAAGTTTTTGGGCCCAACCAGTTCTACTGTGTTAAAAAAATTTATTGTTTTTTAATATCTTAAAACTTTTATAAATATCTGTTGTTTAGAATATATAAAGTAAAACTTTTAACTGTTTTTTTAAATTTGAAATTTTTTGTTTGCATTAGAACAGAATACTACATCATTTAGAAAAATAATTAATAACTTAAAATGCGTTTACAGTAAATTAATGAAATTTACACTGACTACACATAGTAGTTCACTCTTTCAAATGAAAATATTTTCATGATTGTAAATTTAAAAATTTCATATTTTTAATAATAATTTTATAAACAATTTGAATTTTTTATATGTTTTACCCCTCGAATTGTATTGAATCTCATAAGAAGTATACTATGTAGTTATTATTATTTTATTATTTTTCTTATCTAAAGCGCCTAAAAACTAGTGTTATTTTTAAATTTTGCAAATAATTAAGATGTTTATAAAAACATAAAGATATTTTATGATTTAATCAATTTGAGCAGCAGTTTATACAAATAATTGTTATTGACAAATGAAGGGCTGGCTGCAATAAGGGGACGAACGCGTGGTTGACAGGAATAATACTAGTCAAGTAGCAGTGAGCGGCTTAAGGCTTGTCACTGTTACCCGACTTGTATTTTTAAAATATTGTAGCTTCTTCAACAACCCATATTTCTGCGAAAATATTTAGTAGTTAAAATAATTTCTCATTTTCGATCAGCAAGAACAAAAATTTGCATTTAAGTTCACTTAATCTCGCAATTATCAGCAAGCAAAAATATCTGATGAGAATGTAATCCTTAAAGTCGTAGTAACTTTAAGAAAAAATAATTCCTTGAAACATATAATAGAAAAAAGGAAAAGAACGCAAATAATGCACAACGGTCGTGGATGACTGCGAGCGAAGCGAGCTATTTGCTCGCGAAGCGCGCAACAATCCTCGGAGCGCGAAGCGCGACGACCAAAATTCGCGCGCCCCGAGGCGCGCTGAAACTTGCGAGCCTCCCGCGCGAAGCGCGGATGAGAATGTGTCCGCCCGAAGGGCGGGCAGATTTTTTAGAGTACTTTTTCCCCAAAATATGCAAAAAAATGGTGTTTTTATTCAGAATTTCTCTTATAAAAAAAAGGGAGTTGGAAATTTTCCAGTTTTTGAGGTTCCACTTATAGGCATGATGACGCTGAATCAAAAGCCGTTTGATTTTTTAAAATCGCTTCAGAAGAACTCGAGATATCACTCTTACCAGATCAAAAAAAGACATTTTGGGAAAAACGCATTTAATGTTTTTGTTCATAAATTTCGATTTTTTTTTAAATCATCGGATTTGCTTGAAAATCGTTACTGGGGGGTTTTTGAGGTCGCTAATTACGAATATGGAATCAGATTTTTAAAATTCAAAATGGCGGAACCAATATGGCGGACAAAAATCAAATTCATTGGATTTGCTTGAAAATCGTTACAGGGAGTTTTTGGGGTCGCTGATTACGAATGTGACATCATTTTTTCAAAATTAAAAATGGCAGATGCAATATGGTAGACGAAAAAAAAATTAAAATAAAAAAATTTTCTTTTCCGCCATATTGGATCCGACATTTTGAATTTTGAAAATTTGATATCTAATTTGTGATCAGCAACACCAAATACATTTTTGTTTGTCTTTTTTAAAAAATGCAAATGAGAAAACATTTAAATCATTCGATTGCTTATCCGCATACAAAAACATCTTTGACATGGCGAAGAATAAGGATATATATAACTTTTGCTTTACTTCGAATTTTGCAATAATATTTAAGGAGAGTATTCTTGACACTATAAGAAATCCGAAAATAAAAACTAAAAAAATCGATTTTTTTTACATTTTGAACTGGAATGTCCCCTTAATTAATTCCTCATCAATTTCAATTTTTGAAATTCTAACTTCTGTAAAAGTATCATAAAACTTAAATATAAAAAATTATTAATTTGTTAGCTTCCTTAAAAATTAAAAGTTTTGAATAATATTATTCAAAAATTCTAAAAAAATAAATGGAATTTTGGCAGACTTGCAGTCAAATTTTTTTTCATAAAAAATTTTTCCAATGGTTTTACATTGAAAGTATTTCGAATTTTCAAGCAAATAAAGAACAATAAGTATTTAAATATTTATTTTACAAAAATGATTGAAATTTGAAATATTTAATTTGAAAACTCTGAAAAAAATTAGGTTTCTGAAAAATAGTACCTAATTAAAATTTTTTGAAGAAAAAGGTTGGTAGTCGAATTCCCGAAAATAATTTTAAAAAATTGAAACAATTGGAAATATTTTAAAATTTTATATTTTAAAGAATTTTTTTTTTCATCTTTAAAAATTATCTATAAATATAATTGTATTTTTAAAAAAACATTATTTTATGAATTTACAAAAATTATTCTATTTAAATAATTATTCAATTCTCGTCGTTGAATTCAGATAAGAATTGATTTAAAAAAAAATAAAGTTAAAATTTTAGAAAATAATTGAATATTTAAATTCTTAAAATTTTGAATAATTTAATTTAAAAATTCTAAAATTAGAAATTTCGAAAAAATTTGTTTCTTGAAAAAATGTAATTAAAATTTTTTAAAAATAATGATATTTCCGAAAATAATTTTAAAAAATTGAAAATTTTGTCTAACTGCATTAAAATAAATTTTATTTTTGAATGAATTTAATTTATTTTCTTTTAAAAATTATTCAGAAATATAATTGTATTTTTAAAAAATTGTAATTGAAAATTTGGAAAATAATTGAATTGAAAAAAATTTAAAATAAACTTATTTCCACTGGAAAGTTCAATTATTTAATCAAAAATATCTTGGCGATTTTTATACGAGTTGTTCAAATCATTAAATTTAAAGAAAAACTGTTAGAAAAATTCAATTTTTTAAAAAATGAAGAATTTTTATTAAATTTTAAAAAGCAAATCTTTTAAAGTAAAAGAATTGGAATATAAAACGAAAAAAATTAAATTATTTACAAAAATTTGTCATTTTTCTTTGAAAATTAAATAATATCCTTTCTCGTGAAATTAGAAGCAAGTAGAAAAAATTGTAGGTTATAAAACAATAGTAAATATACCTCGTTTGGTTTAATTTCTTTTACTAGTTCAACATTTTCAATAACTAAAGGAGAGGAATATTTTTTAAGAACTGCAGTTTGTATCATTCCCGGTATAGGGTCAGGAATTGTTTTTGAATGTTTATCAGAATCTTGATCTTTTTCAGTCGCAGTTCCATTAAATCTACTTATGACAACACTTGGCACTGAATTTTTTAAAGTTCTTAAACAAAATTTCGGTATTAGTTGCCGACTTAGTGCTGACATTTTTAAAATTGTTTTTTTTAAATCTTATTCATTAAGAAAAAAAGCATAAAATATATAATACGAAAAAAAAACACAAATATTAAATATTGTCACTCAACAAAATCATTAAGAAAAACTTGACTTTTTTTTGATAATTATGATCAGAAATCTGTTAATTGCATTCGAATGTAAAAACACTTTATTTTTACAAGAGAAAAAAAGTAATTTCTATTTATTTACTCATTTAAAAAAAATGTATATTTAATAAGTGGTATTTATTCTATTTGTGTCACGTGGGTCATCAGCTGTAAAGATAAAGGCTATATTACAATCTCGCCTTTCGCGTTTGCGTGTTTCTTATGGAGCATTCACACCGTAAAAAATTGTCCAGAACGGAAAATCTACATTGGAGTAAGAGAGACAGGCTGTGTTTATGTCTCTCTTACTCCAATGTAAATGTAGCGTCTAAGGCTGTGTCTACAATTTGTGTTCGAATGCTGCGTTTTTTGCGTTGGGCAGTGAGTGTAAGAAGGATAGAAGTATATGTCTTTCTTTTTCTATCTCATTATTCAACGCAAAACGCTGCGTTCGAACGCAAGCATGTAAACACCGCCTAATGGAGCACTCACAGCACTGCCTGCCTGCGCAGGCAGTAATTGGAGTAAGAGAGAAAGTCAATTAGAGTGAAAGAGACAGTAAATTCAAATTTGTATTGCTGCCTACTAGCTGTGAGTGCGCCTTAGGCTTGTTCCACAATGAGCCAAAACGCAACGCAGACGCGACGCGTCCCAATGCTAATCAAATGGGGATGCGTCGCGTCTGCGTTGCGTTTTGGCTCATTGTGGAACTAGCCTTAAGCGTGAAAGCGTAAGGGTGGAGTCCCATGACAGCGTTTTGCGTTGCGTTGTAATGGGAGAGAAAAAGACGCAAATATACGTTTGCTGCATTCTCTCTCATTAAAACGCAACGCAAAACGCTGCCATGGGACTGCGGCCTAAAACGTTTAACCAATAAGAACACTCTATTCAAAGGATTTCTATTTAACAGATGGTTTTTATTGGTTTAACGTTTTACGCCACGGACGTCATTTTAACTTTTGGAAATTTGAACCCAGAGACATTCGAACTTTTGAAAATTCGATCAAATAAACATTCGAACTTTTAGCTGTACGAACATAAAGTCATTTTGTCTTTTAATATTCAAAAAAAAATGTTTATTCTAACGTTTGAAATTTATGAATTTAAAATTAACCACGCATTTGTGTGACATGTTGAAAACAGTTGATTGGTTGTGTGCTAGATTTCTAACATTTTCCGAAAATAGTCGAATCCATCCGAACTGATAGAATGACGTCATGACCAAGCAGAAACGATAAGATAGTCAAAAGTCTAAGTGTCTTTTTCTTGTTAAAACATTTTGTGACATTTACAAATTTGGATTATCAAAATGTCGTATGCATACCTTTTTAAATACATCATTATCGGGGATACAGGTAAGTTTTCTATTTACATAAAAGAATTAAACATTATACTCTTGATTATTGTACCCGAACAATATTCTTATTACGTCTTTTCTGACAGCTCTCATTGTTTTCGTTTCGCATCATGAATTTTTACCTTATGCATCATTATATTTTACTCATTTGTTTCTCGAATCTTATTTTTATACATTACTAATCAATAGTCATACATTCAAAGTATGTTTATTATGTCCGTTCATAAGAAAATGAACCTAATAAATTGTAAATATGGCAGATGTATTTTTTTGGAAAATTAAATTATTTTTCTACAACAATAAAATGCGATGAAATTTTAATTGGATTTTTCAATAATATTAATGTGTTCGTACTTGATTATTTTTGAAGGAAATGTTTTTAAAAAATGAATTAAAATTTCAGACCATTTTTAGAATTTTTTTCTTTAAAAGTATTTTTTATTAAAAATTTTTTGTATAATTCTTTAGGAGTCGGGAAATCTTGTCTTCTCCTGCAATTCACAGACAAACGATTTCAGCCTGTCCATGACTTGACAATAGGTGTCGAATTTGGTGCTCGTATGATTACCATTGATGGAAAGCAGATTAAATTGCAAATTTGGGATACTGTAATTATTTTTTCTTTATTAATAATTTTATAAATACATTGAAATTTATTTATTTTACGTAGATGATTTCTTAAGTAATATTTGGTAATTCATGATGGCCACAGGTCAGTAAAGTCAGGGAAACAAAATTTTTGGCAGTAAAGTTAGGGAAATGCTGGGAAAAAAAATTTTTTATATTAATATATTCGTGTTTTATAATAATTTAAATTTCCATAAAATTTTTCAAAAAAAAATTTAATTATTTACAGAAATTTTAATAAAATCCCTCTCAAGAATTCAATTATTTTTACAAGTAACAAAATTTTTCACATGAATTCAATTTCTTCATAGGATTTCAATTATTTTTAATGCAATTTTAAGTAAAATCTTTGAAAAATAAAATTGTTTAAAAAAATTTTATTAAAATTCTTCGAAAGAATTCAATTATTAATTATTTTGTTAATAATTTTTCCAAGAGTTCCTTAAGAATTTTCAAATCCATTTGTTTACAATTCAATTTTATGAAAATTCTATTATTCGAATTTTGTTTAATTAAATTCATTTAGGAAATAAAAACTTGATATAATTTCAAAAGAAAATTCAATTGAACTATTTCAAAAAAATTAATTCTTCATAGCTGTCAAGTAAAAATATGAAAAATTCAAATTTTCAAAGATTTTGATTTAAAACATTTTCAAAATTCATGCCACAATGCTTTTAAAATTCAATTATTATCTAAAAATTTAACAGAAATTCATTTTTAAATCAATTTTTATTCAAAAATTCAACGAGAATTCAATTATATAAAAAAAAATATATTTTATTGAATGTTTCTCATAATTGAATTTTCATAAAGAATTTTATCAATATAATTGAATTCGACGAATTTTAATAAAATTTTCAAAAATAATTACATTTTTCTTGGAATTTGATTAAAATTACATTAAAAATAATTGAAATTCTATGATGAGTTTTATTATTTATGAAAATAATTGAATCACTGTAAAAAATTTTATTATTTAAAAAAATAATTGAATTTATTATTGATAAGAAATTTAATAAAAATTTTATTAATTGAATTTTTGTGAAATTTTTATTATTTTTGAAAATAATTGAATTGAAGAAAATTGAGACTTTTTTCGACTGATTTTTAAAAATTGCGACTTTTTCGACTTTTCTTCCAAACATTGCAACAAAATACAACAATTTTAGTAAAAAAAAAAAAGTGCAACTTATTTTGATTTTTATAATGCGAAAAATAACTATAAACAAATCTTTCAAAAATTGTTTTTGATTCATTTTTTAACATAATAATAATTAAATTTTTCAAATATATCTATAATAAAATTCTTTTTGAATATTTGAAACTTTGTAAAATTTAATTAAAAATAATTTATTTACATTATTTAAAAATCAATTTTTGAAGAATTTTACTTGCAAATTTTGAAAATAATAATTGAAATATAAAAAATTTTGATGAATCAAAATTTTAATTAAAATTCATTAAAAAAATTAATTAGTTTTTTTAAACTATACAAAAATTCTTTTAGGAAATTCAATTATTTTCGAAAAATTCCATTAAAATATTTTTAAAAACTAATTAAGCATTAGAATTGTTTTATAATAATTTTTAAGATTCAAATTATCTTCGAACAAAATAAATTGAAATTTTATGAAAATTTACTTTTTGGACTTATTTAAAATTTTTGAGAAATCATGATCCTGTTTATAATTAAAATTCTTTAAAAATTTGATCATTTTTATTTATATTTTTCAAAAATTAAATAATTTTTAAAAGATTTTACCAAATTTTAATTGTTTGGAAATTTTTCAATATTGAAAAACTATTATCTTTCATAAATTATTTTAAAATATTTTAAAAATATTAATATTGTTAACTTTTATCTTTCAAAAATTATTTAAAAATAATTTAAGAAAAAACTAAGGAGAGTTATAATTATTATAAAAAAAAATCGAGTTTTTGTATTTAAATAATTGAATTCTAGATGAACTTTTGGAAAATTATTTAAAATAATTAATTTAGAGATGAAGTTTAGTTGAAAATTGTAGAAAATAATTGAATTCAGGAAGGGTTATGATTGTAATTTTTAAGAAATTATTAAAATTCGTAAATTTTACTCATTTTCCGTAAAAATTTATATTTTCCAGTAAAACGAATTTTGTCAGGGAAAATAATTTTAATGTCAGGGAAATTAAGAAACAGTTACTTGTGACCACCCTGTATCTATATAAAAAAGTAATTTTGGTTAATAGAAAATTATAATTTTGTTTTTATCGATTGTAGTCGTTAATTTATTAATGTCATGTTGGTGATGAAATTTTAATAATGTATTAATGAATGCATAAAAATATTCACGTCGCAGGCTGGTCAAGAAGCTTTCCGTTCTATTACGCGGTCATATTATCGAGGAGCAGCTGGCGCACTCTTGGTTTATGATATCACACGCCGAGAGACATTTAATCATCTCACAACGTGGCTCGAGGATGCGAGACAGCACTCCAATTCGAATATGGTAATTATGTTAATTGGCAACAAAAGCGACTTGGATTCTCGAAGAGAAGTTCAGAGGGAAGAAGGCGAGGCTTTCGCCAGGGAGCACGGTTTGGTCTTCATGGAAACAAGCGCCAAGACAGCGGCGAACGTTGAGGAAGCTTTCATTAACACGGCCAAAGAAATTTATGAAAAAATCCAAGAAGGTGTTTTCGACATTAACAATGAGGCAAGTGTTCTTTCTTAATCATTTTCCTTAAGATTTAACTCAACATTTTTTATTTATTTATTTATTTAAACATAAACGGGTTTCAAACAAACCCTTTTGTACAAAAGTACTTAACTGTAATCATACAACAAAAAAACCTTATAATAACTATGTTAAGGTAAGTTATGAAACTTATAAAGTTATTTAATCAATTCAATCAAACTTTTATTATTCGGAATGTTATGACGGCCGAAGATTTTAAATTAAATGCGAAGAATTATTTTTATTTTTTAATATCTAAACTCTCAAGAGATTTATTTAGAAAAATAATAAAACAAATATATTTTATTCGTAATATATTTTTATTTTATTTAATCTGACAAGTGGTTTTTAATGGTTCAAAGTTTTGAAATCTAAATGATTCTCTTATCAGAGAATTTATTTAAATAATACAATGATACAAAAATAAGAATAAATGTCTTAGCGAAAAAAGTATTTTCAATTTATTTTTTATTAATTTTTATATTTTTTTCTTAATTCTTATTGTTTCTTGTATTATTTTTATAAACTCTGATGAGGAGAATATTTAGATTTCGAAACGCTTGATTGATTTTTTATTAAAAACTACTTTTCTCAATATAGTTGTTTTATTATTTGCTTACCATTTGAATATACATAATTAACTCGATCGTTAAATACTTAGATACTTAATATTAACTCTTTTTTATTTTATTTATTCTTTTTCTTCAAATTAAATAATATTTTGACCATGAACAAAAATTAAAAGTAGTAAAACATGCCATAAAAAATTAATTTTGTTTTTGACTGACTTTTCCCTGATTTTCAGACAATATTTTGATTTTTTCCCTAACCCTAAATATTCTGATTTACTCTAAAAATGATTACATACTAAAAAAATGTTCTATTAAATTTATTTACGAATTTCTCCAATTGTAAAATTATTCGAAGATATCAATAATTTCTTTTTTAAATAAATATTTAATCATTATTATTCCACAGGAATTAGAATTTTCAAAATCTAATTTTTATGAAATTTAACAACTTATAATAATTTAAATTTCCATAAAATTTTTCAAAAAAAAAATTAAATTATTTGCAAAAATTTTAATAAAATCCTTCGCAAGAATTCAATTTTTTTCATAAATAATAAAATTTTTCACATGAATTTAATTGTTTAAAAAAATGTAATAAAAGTAAATTATTTTTATAAATAATAAAATTTTTTACATGAATTCAATTATTTAATAAAATTCAACATTCACATAATTAAAAAAAATCAATTAAACAATTATTATCTAAAATTTTAACTGAAATTCATTTTTAAATTAATTTTTATTCAAAAATTCTACGAGAATTCAATTATTTAAATACAAAAATAGATAATTTATTATATAATTGAATGTTTCTCAAAATTGAATTTTCACAAAGAATATGATGAGTTTCATTACTTATGAGAATAATTGAATCTCTGTAAAAAATTTTATTATTTATGAAAATTGCAAAGAAATTTGTTTTAAAAAAAATGTAAATAGTTTAAATTTAACTAATTTTATTTATTATTAATTAATTAATTAATTTAATTTCTGTGAAATTTTTATTATTTATCAGGGTGGCCATATGTCAGTAAAGTCAGGAAAATGTCAGGAAAAAAATTTTTTATCAGGGAAATTAAGAAAATTAAGACTTTTTTCGACTTATTTTCAAAAATTTGCTACTTTTTCGACTTTTTTTCCAAACATTGCAATAAAATAACACAATTTTAGTAAAAAAGTGCAACTTATTTTGATTTTTATAATGCAAAAAATAATTCTATAAACAAATCTTTAAAAAATTGTTTTTGAATCATTTTTTAACGTAATTAAATTTTTCAAATATATAGGTATCTATAATAGAAATCTTTTTGAATATAGTTGAAATTTTGTAAAATTTAATTGAAAATATGTGATTAATTTATTTACAATTTTTAAAAATCATTTTTTGAAGAATTTTACTTGCAAGAAAATAATAATTGAAGCATAAAAAATTTTAATGAAAAATCTTTAAAGGTAAATTTAAAAATAAAAATTAATTTAAAAACTAATTATTAGCATTGTTTTATAATAAATTTTAAGATTAAATTATCTTCGAACAATGTAAATAAAAATTTAGGAAAATTTACTTTTTAGACTTATTTAAAATTTTTGAGAAATCATGATCCTGTTTATAATTAAAATTCTTTAAAAATTTGATCATTTTTATTTATATTTTTCAAAAATGCAATTATTTTTAAAAGATTTTACCAAATTTGAATTGTTTTGGAAATTTTTCAAAATTGAAAAACTATTGTCTTTCATAAATTATTTAAAAAAAATTAATTGTAAGAATTTTTTTATAATTTTTTGAAAATATTATACCTTATATAAAAACTATGGAGAGTTAGAATTATTATAAAAAATTGTCTAAAAAAATAAAAATTTGTTTAGGCAAACGGAATTAAAATTGGACCTCAACATTCGCCCACCAGTCCCGGTGGAATAGCAGGTTCCGGTGGACAAGGCAGCGCACAAGGAGGTGGTTGTTGCTAGGGGTTGGGAATTGCTTGTCCACCAATTCATCCTTCAATAATTTGAACTGATCATCTCATTCCTGCTCTTCGTTTTTATCCCTGACTGCTTAAGATTTGTACATTTCTTTTCGTTCGTAATTCTTCTGAGGCAGTGAACAGTGAAGGAACAAGTATTTATTATACTTAATAGATATTTACACTTTAGGTAAATATTACCGAACATAAGTGTTGTACATCACTACACGTATAAAATAAAGACTTAATTTATAAGTTTATATATAAATTATCGATTATAGAACGAAAACTAACATTCTCGCTGGCAATTGACGATTTAGAATTAATTTTCCCATTCGTCATAGCTCAAAATGAATAATAAAAATTAGTTTTAAGTTAAGAAAAAAAGAAAAGAAAAATTGTAAAACTGCTAATCAAAAAGAAGATTTCTATTTCAATTTTAATAAAGTCATGTTCGACTCAAATTTTTACCAAGTCATAATCGACTATAACATTAAATTTTTCTGCGTATTCGAAAATTTCATTATTCATTGATGAAATATTGAAAATTTAGCAAATTACAAAGATTATATATTATATTATATTATATTACATTACAGTGCATAATATATACTCATATATATATGAATATATTCTATTTGTATATAATTGTGTGGAAAAGACATTTTCTCACTTAGAAATCATTACGCAGAATTGGACTGATTTTCGAGCAGGAATGTTAGTTCAGATTTATTCATTAATTCAACATTATGTATATGTATATGTACTATTGTTCTGTCTCAAATAACGAACATACAATTTAAAAAACGATTATCCAGTTGATTTAATGTAGAAGCCTAATTACCGAGTGCAGGTAAAAAATAAGATAAAATGTTAAAAGTCTAAATAAAGCATAATATAATCCAAACTTTTTGGTATTAGGCTTCTTGCGTTAGAAATCAAAAAAAATTTGATTTTTCTCACAAATAGAAAATTTGACCTTCAAACTTTTTGTTATTAAACTACAACAATAAATGTTGTTTACTATTTAGTTGAATTAGTCAATTGGTCTTGTGTAGGTATGTTTATAGAATTTATTAATATGTATTTTTTGCTTTATATATTGTGCAAAAAAGATTTTGTATCGTATTTTTCGTGCAAAAGGTTAAATACCAGTCATTGCCAGTTGACACTTTTTTTTAATGTTCAAAAAGCAATTTTTAACTAAAAACAATATACAAATTAATTTAATTTTACTCTTATTTTCTGAATGTTAATGTCATTCTTTTCTCATCTTAAAAAAAAAAAAAATTTTTGAAAAGAATGAAGACGAGACAATTTTCTAACGCTTTTCTTAATTAGTAAATTACTTTGAAATGACCATTTTTTAACTTTTTTATTTGTTTAAATTATATAAATTATATAAAAATTTCCTTTTAAAAATTATTAATTAATAATATAAATAATAATAAAAATAATAATAAATAATATAAATAATTATTAATTAATTTATCAAAAAAGCTACAAAATTAGAATCATAACAAAAACTTAAAAAAAGTTAAACATTTTGAAGAAAAAATTTTCTTTACAAATCTGATAGAAAATTTAAACACAGCCTTTTTATTTAATTGTCATTCTATTTAACATTTTTTCGAAGAAATAAAAATAAAATATATTTTCAGCTTCTACAATTGTTAGATTAAAAGTTGTTTTCTAATAATAAAAAAAATTACTGGCGGTATTCTGTGAGGTTTTAAAGTAATGAAAATAATTTTAATTCGTTTTAAAATTACACACATGTGTAGTAGTATAAATTAATTGATTTTTACTTTAATTGGAATTTTTTTTGAGTGTGGAAATTTGATTGTGTGATGTTAATTGGAAACACTTATACTTTTGTAACGAGGGTGCGATATGGTCAGTATCATTATAATCACTAGTCAATGAATAACGAATCGTTATTCCTCATTGCAAAAGAAACTTATATATCATGAATTGTATAAACTTTTAGTAATATAAAATAGAGCTAACGAACATTTGCATATGATTTTTTACATTTTCATTATGAAATTATATACTTTATAAATCATAATATCTTTCCACCATCTGTATTCAGGAATCTCAATCATTTAAATATGCGAATCGAAATATTTTTTTTTTTTTGTCAATGAATTTATGTAATTTTATTATTAAGTAATATATGTTCATTTTTGCAAAGTGCAATTTAATTTGTTTTTTTCTTTAGCCCAATTATTAATATTAACAGGGGTTTCAACGGTCAAGAAAGTTTCATTTTGAATAGTTCAAAATTTTTTTAAATTCCTCAAATAACATAATATTTTTCAGAAAGTCAAAATTTCTCAATTTAATGATAACACGAATAGAAAATTTTATAAATTAATAATATATTCTATAATATTCGTTAGAACAAATAATTTTTGCTTAAAATTAAAATTGTCAAAACTTTTGCAAAATAAAAGAATTTTTTATTAATTTATTAAATTTGTTTTTTTAACTAAAAGGTAATTACTTTAACTATTATATTATATCCACTTTATGGGTCTCAGTTAAAGTATTTCATAAAAGTTTTTGAAAATTTAAGTTTGAAAAATTTTAATTGCAAATTCTCAAATTAATTAAATTCTCCAAAGTTTTAATGAAAAATTTATTGAAAATTATCTTCGAAAAAAGTAATTTACCAATGAAAAATATCGTCAAATTGATGTCAAAACTAACGTCAAAAAATGAAAAAAATGTGGAACTATAAAGGAAACATAAATTTTACAGTATTTTTTAAAAATGCGATTCTTATTTGCAGAGCTGACAAAGTGAAAGATTTTTCTTCAAATTTGAAGAAAATTAAAGGAATCTGCAATATTAAAAGAATTTGAAGAATTATTATAAAAATTTGAAGATATTTTTAAAAAAATTGCGAAGCAATTTAATGAAAATAATAAAAGTAAAATAATAAAAATATTAATAAACATTTAAATAATATAAATAAACCTTTATTTAATCTTTATTTTTTTAAAGATAAATTATAATTTAAATTACAAAATTTTATATTTTCAAATATAAACATATTAATTTTTGAATAATTTCAGATTCAAAATTTAAAAAATTCTCTTATTAAGGGCCTAATTAAATATTCTTCGTTCATTATTTTCAAAACAATTTTAATAAAATTTTACGAAAAGATTCAATTATTTAAAAAAATTTTTTTATTACAATTTTTTAAATAATTTAATTTATTCAAAGAATTTTGTTAAAATATAGAAAATAATTAAATTCTTTCAAAGAATATATAATTACCATTCAAGGTTCTTTCAAAAACATTCTTTAATTTATTGAATATAATCGATGTTGCTAATAATTATTATTAGTAATTTTACTACTACAATTTTATTAAAATTACTGATAGAAAATTAAACTATTCTAAACAATTTTATTGGAGTTTTTGAAAATAATTAAATTCTTTTGAAAAATTTTAAAGTTTTTTTTTCTAAATAGTGTAGTTTTCTGAATAATTTTAAATGAAAATTTTGAAAATAATTGAATTAAACGAAGAATTTATTTAAACTTTTTATAAAATAATCGTGTTTGTTAATAATTATAATTTAATATTTGTTTATTGAAGTTTAAAAAAATAATTGAAGTGTTTCGAAGAATTTATTAAAATGTTAGAAAATAATTGGATTCTTTCAAAAATTTATATAAAAATAAAAAAAAATTGAATTGTTTCGAAGGATTTAGAGTCAAATTTTAGAAAATAATTGAATTTTTTTCAATAATTTTATTAAAAATAAAAAAAATTGGATTGTTTCGTAGGATTTAGAGTAAAATTTTAGAAAATAATTATAGAGCTTTTGAAAAATTTCATTAAAAATATTTTAAAAATTGAATTGTTTTGAAGAATTTATTAAAATGTTAGAACATAATTGGATTCTTTTTAATAATTGTAATAAAAATAAAAAAAAAATTTAATTGTTTCGAAGGATTTAGAGTAAAATTTTAGAAAATAATTGAATTTTTTTAAAAAGTATTATTAAAAATATAAAAAAAAGTAAATTCTTTCATGAAATTTTATTAAAATTGTATTAAACATAATTGAATTGTATCGAAAGATTTATTAAAATTTTAGAAAATAATTAAATTTCTTTAAAATATTTTATAACAAATTAAGAAAAAAATTGAATACTTTCGTAAAATTTTTTGAAAATAATTAAATTTTTGCAAAGATTTTAGTATTTAAAAAAATAATTGAATTATTTCGAAGGATTTTTAAAATTTTAGAAAATAATAATTGTATTCGTTCGTAAAGTGTTATTAAAATTTTGTTCCAAAATAATTTAATTTTTGCAAAAAATTTTACTTTTTACAAAAATAATTAAATTCTTATGAAGATTGTTATTATTTATGAAAATAATTTAATTCTTGCGAGGAATTTTATTAAATTTTTTGAAATTAATAAACAAAAAATAATTAATTTGTAAATTAGTTATTAATTGAATTTTTTTAAATTTGAATCTGAAATTATTCAAAAATTCATATTTGAAAATAAAAAATTAATTATAAACAGGACCATAATTTCTCAAAAATTTTAATAAGTTCAAAATAAGTAAATTTTTATATATTTTTATTTACATTGTTTGAAGATAATTGAATCTTAAAAAATTATTATCTAAAAGAAATTATAATAATTAGTTTTCAAAAATATTTTAATTTTTCGAAAATAATTGAATTTCTTAAAAGAATTTTTGTATAATTTAAGAAAACTAATTAATTTTTTGATAAATTTTAATTAAAAATTTTAAGCATGATTTTTTACTCCAAAATGTTAAAAATAATTCTAAAATGTTATTATGTGTATTTGAATTTTTGGAAATATGTCATTGAAAATACTGAAAATTTCAACAATTTATTTCAAATAAATAATATCTTAATTATCTAAAGCATAATTATATTTACCAGGAAATAATTGTAAACAAAAAATTATTTTAGAACCGTAAAATTGTCAATTAGTTTAAATTTACTGGCTCGCAATAACAAAAATTGAATTTGGCGCCAAATTGCGCATAAATTATGCGCAGAAAATGAATAATTGGAATCTTCCAAATTTGCTAAAATATATTTTATAAATTTTCTTTTTTAGATTATATTTAAAATTTGTTAAGTGTTTATGGCAAAAAGTAACTTATTAATAATGTAAACTTAATTAAAACCAGTAAACATTTGCTAAGGGATATTTAATTCTCAAGGGAAATTGAGTAAATTGACTGCCAGTGTGAAGTTGGCACTAAAAAATTTAAAAACTGAATAATTATTTTAATCTCATTGGAATATTAATGTTTAGTGTTGCCACGAATGTAAATTGTAAATAAAAGAATAAAGACACTTGGATAAATTTTTCCAAGTGGTGAAACGAGTATGAGAGACAGTGAGAGATTTTGTAAAATAGGTAAAATAGGAATAGCAGACTACATTTTGCAAAAATCATTTGAGTGAGAGGGAAAGAGCGACAGAACGAAGAGTGAGCAGGAGAGAGAGGAGAAGAGAAGAGCTTGTGAGGAGGGGGTATGTTTGACCACCACTGCTTGCGGGTTAGGATCATCGATAACCATAAAGCGAATTGCCTCGTGAACTTCCTACAAACGTTGTAAAAATTCAATGGAAATTAGTGTTTGCACATTGTCTCATGCTTGATTTAATGAGCGCAAGAAAGTGAGGAATAAATAAGAAAAGTAGGCAGCTGCCATTAGAGCAGCCATACTCAAACAACCGCAGTGTGATTGCGCGACGCGCGGTCAAAAATGAGACTCTAAATTCGGATGAAACGGGTATTCGTAAATTTTATTAAATAGCTTTCGCAAAAGTTTATTCAATTTTCACGCAGAGACAGGGCAGGGGCAAAGTTATTGAAATTTTTGTGAGGCGAGGAGAAGCGAAGAAGCAATCGCGCCGGAAGCAGGAAGCCGAAAAAGGGGCCACGACGAGATGAGTACGAAGAACGACGTGAACAGGAGAGTATTGGCGATTCAGGCGAAAAAGAAACGACACAAGCCGGTGAAACGAAAGGGTAAAGGTCCTCAAGGTGATCAGGACAATCCCGGTGCTCAGTGTTCCAAAGCATCCAACGCAAATCAAAATCAAGACATTCGATTGCAAAGACAGAATTCCGGTGGCAACGGGCACAGGTGCCCAAGCAATTTTTTTATTACAATTATCCCTCTTTTTTAACTCTTTACTTTACTTTATATCCAAATTTAGTTTACACATTCCTGATTCCCTTTTTATTTCTATTTTCCCTCCATTCTCTCTTTGCCCACTTTTAACAAATCTAAATGTGACACAATTAAAACTGAAAATTGTTAACCTCTTGACACTTGTTTTTTGTTTCTTAAAATATCTTTCATTCCATTTTTATATCAAATATTGATGACCCTTCTTCTTGCTCATGTTAACACCTTTTTCTTAGTTTGACAATTTTCCTTTTTCAATGTACAAATTTCAATTTTATTTCTATGCAAACTATTACTGTACATAATTTCCTATTGTTTTTCATTCCCCTTCCCCCTTTATAACTTATTCTAAAGATTATTTTTTCTCTAGTTTAAAAACATGCTGCAAATTTCAATTTTTCTTTATTCTAACGAAAAATTTCGAGTAATAAATAAGTAATTTATATTTGCTTTATAAAGAAAAAATTGTTTAAATAAATGGCAAAATTTTTAAATTCTGAAAATTTACATTAGAATTTCCAATTCTCTATAAATTTTTATACACAAAATTATTGTTATGTAGTCGATCGTAACTTTTTGAGAAATGAGAAATAAGAATTGAAGAATTTTCTATTTAATTTCTAAAAGTAGATTGTATTTTTCTTGAATCGCTTATTTATATTTTCCTAATCTCTGTGTGATTGTTGAATTACAAGATAGATGTAAATAAACTGAAATAAAATTAATATTAGATAGAATCACTCTTATTTTTATTAATTAAATTGCTTATTTATATATACTTGATATTTTTTATATTTATTATTAATAAAACTTTTTTTCGGATAATATTTATAATATGCTTATGAAATAATTACAACTCTTTCGGACCAAAGGCCACAAAAAAGTCAAAATTATTATTTATCCAATTAAGGTCCTTTAAAGTAAATTAAAATAATAATATTTATAATTATGAAGAAAAGAAATTTATAATTTGATTATTGCAGACTTCGCACTCACCTACTAAAACCTACTATTTACTACTTTTTTACGTTCTGTTACTATTTGAGTACTTTTTTTAGATTTCACTCACTATAAAAGCTACTATTTCTGTTTTTTCTGAGAATTTCCACTACTTTAAATTCGCTAATACATATTAAAAATCGAAAAACTATTCTCAAAAATTATAATCAAATTCTTTAAAATAACAATTCAATTATTTTCAAAAATTATTCGAAATGCAATTATTTTCAATACCTAGTATTTTAATAAAATTTATCAAAAGAATTCAATTATTTAAAAAAAACTGATAAAATTCATCCAAAATTCAATTATTTTCATAAATAATAAAATTTTCACAGGAATTCAATTAATTTAGAATAGCATTTTCGAAAAAATCAATTATTTAACAAAATTTTTATACAATTCTTCACAATAATTCAATTACTTTGACTAATAATAAACATTTTTCATTGGAATTCAATTTTTTTAAAAGAATTTTTGATAAAATTCTAAGCAAGAAATTAATTATTTTCATAAATAATAAAACTCATCGAAGAATTTCAATTATTTTAAATACTATTTTCAATTAATTAATCGAAGAATTCAATTATTTCCACAAATAAAGTTTTCCACAAGAATTCAATTATTTAAAATAAAATTATCATAACATTTATTATATTTCGAAGAAATTAATTATTTAAAAGAATGTTTATAAAAATTTTACGAGGAATTCAATTAGTTTCCAAAATGCCAAAATTTTTCACAGAAATTCAATTCTTTATGATCATAAAGTTCTGAACGTTCAAATGAACGAAATTTATTTTTTTCATCTTCAAATTAAATTTTTATTAAAATATTTTGTGTCACTATTAATAAAATTAATTATAAAGTTTCTCCATATACAATATTTAAGTTTTTAAATTACATTACAATCAGTAATTGATGAAAATATTTTTAATAAAAAGTGTTTCGTTCATTTGAACGTTCAAAACTTGTGAAACGTAATTCTTTTTAAATATTTTAATAACATTTTTCACAATTATTTAATTATTTTTATAAATAATAAAATTCTTCTCAGGAATTCAATTTTTTTTTTGAAAATTATAATAAAATTCTTTGCAATTATTCAATTATTTTCAGTAATAATAAAATTCATCGCAGGATTTCAATTATTTTTAATACAATTGTACAGGAATTGTTCAAAAAATGTAATTATTCTTAAAAATCTAATTTCAATTCCTCGAAAAAGTCAATTATTTAAAAAAATATTTTTTAAAATTCTTAGAAAGAATTCAATTATACTTACAAAAATATTAGAATTTTTCGCAATAATTCAATTCTTTTCAAATATTTAAATAACATTATGGGAAAGAAATCAATTATTTTAAATGCAATTTTAATTATATTTTTTTGGAATAATTCAATTATTCTTTCAGATTTTAATAAAATTCTTTCCAAGAATTCAATTATTTCTATAAATAATTCAATTATTTGAATTCAATTATTTTCAGAAATAAAGTTTTCTACAAGAATTTAATTATTTTAACAAAATTTTCTTAATACTTATTATATTTCGAAAAAATTAATTATTTAAAACAATGTTTATATCATTTTTATGAAGAATTCAATTATTTTCAAAAATAACAAAATTTTTCGCAGAAATTCAATTCTTTTTAAACATTTTAATAAAAATTTTCGCAATAATTCAATTATTTTCATAAATAATTAAATTCTTCTCAGGAATTCAATTATTTTTGAAAATTTTACTAAAATTCTTAATCACTATTCAATTAATTTTAAAAATATTCCAATTTTTCACAGTAATTCAATTATTTTCAAATATTTTAATAAAATTAGGGACCGTCCATAAACCACGTAGCCCCATTTTTGGGGAATTTTGACCCCCCCTCCCCCATGTAGTACGCTATTACATGTATTAGAGCCATTTTTTCCTCTTGTCGTAGTCAATTGCTTGACCCCCCCCCCCCTCCCCCTCAAGAGGCTACGTGGTTTATGGATGGCCCCTTATTCTAAAAAAATAAATTCTTTTAAATAGGTACAATTTTAATTAAATTTTTTTTAAGTAATTCAATTATTATTTAATTTTAGATTTTAATAAAATTCTTCCCAAGAATTCAATTATTTACATAATTAAATAATTCTTTGAAAGAATTCAATTATATCTATAAATAACAAAATTATTCCCGAAAATTCAATTATTTTAAGGCATTTTAATAAAATACTTCGCAAAATTCAATTATTTTCATAAATAACAATGTTAATAATAATAATCCAACTATTTTCAAAAGTAATATACTTCTTCTCGTAAATTCAATAATTTTGAAATATTCTAATAAAATTATTCGCAAGAATTCAATTATTTTCCTAACTAATAAAATGCTTTTTAGGAATTCAATTATTTTGAAAAAAAATTTTAAAAATGCCACACAGACATTGAATTATTGTTAAAAGTATTAATAGAATTCTTTGTAAAATTTAATTATTTTTAAAAACTTTTCGCAATTCAATGATTTTGCTTCCTCGTGAGGAAGCTTTGTAGTCGTTTAATTTACAAAATTTTTAAAAATCCTTTTAACAAATTTTCTTCTATATAGGACTATGTTATATAAGACCCTGAGCAATTGTCCGGATGTATGTATGGATGTGTGTGTGTGTGTGTGTGTGGATCCCGATTTTTATGAACACGATAACTCAATGAGGTTTTAACGAATTTGGCTAAAATTTACCAGGTATATTTATCATAAAAATATCTCGAAATGGATTCATAGACTTTAAAAAATTCTCAGAAAAAAATTTTTTTAAGTTGGTTATTGAAGTTAATATATAATAAAATCTTATTCTTTGCATCAAGACGAATTGATTGGTATATAAAAAGTATAAATTGTATGAGAATTTACAGAGTTAATCACAATTAAAGATGAAAAATTCGCATTTTTATCAAAAAATGAGTTCTTTCCGCAGAATTATGTTGCCGTATAAGAAGATCTTACTCATTTATTTCTAAAATCTTATTCTTTGCACCAAGACGGATCGATTGGTATACATAAAGTATATATTGTATTTAAATTTATAGAATTAAAACCAATTATAGACAAAAAATTTGCACTATTAATAAAAATTCATTTTTTCTTAAAAATCATGTTGCTGTACAATAAAATGTTATTATTTATTGGAAAATAAATTAAAAATCTTATTCTTTGCATTAAGACGAATCGATTGATCTATATAAAGTATATATTCTATTGAAAATTATAGAATTAATTACAATCAAATTTGAAAAATTCACTTTTTTACTAAAAATTTTTTTATTTATTTAGATTCATATTACTGTATAAGAAAATTTTATTCTTTCTATTAAGACGAATGCACTTTATTTTATAAATGTTAAATTGTATTAAAAATGATTTAAAAATTAAATATATTTGTATCGTTAATGCTTCCTCCACGAGGAAGCAAATTTTTTTGCTGATCGTAAAGAGGAAGCAAAATGTTCATGTAATGAAGATCTGGATTTACAACTTGTTTAATATCTATTATTTCCATAAAATTCCCAAACAGAATTCAATTATTTAAAAAAGATCTTTGTAAAAATTCAATTCTTTTCATGAAGCAGAAAAATTTCTCTGGAATTCAATTATGTAAATAAGAATTTGCATAAAATTAATCCAAAGAAATCAATTATTTAAAAAATGTTATAAAATTCTTCGCAAGAATTAAATTATTTTTATAAATATTTAAATTCTTTCATGAATAATAAAATTCGTTGCAGAAATTTAATTTATTATCCGGATAAGAAAGAAGTAAATTTTTTTAATGAAAATTAGGAAAAAGTTAGGAAAATAGAAAATATGGAAATGTAATTTTTTGTAGTTTTGTGAAGTGTCTAAAACGTCTTTTTTGGTCGTAAAGTTTATTTTCTCAATAGCTACCTTTTTACTACTTTTTTTAGTTTGAAATCTACTTTTTGCTGTTTTTTTAAAATTAATTATCGAGTGCGTAGTCTGTTATTGCTATTCAGTAAATTTGAATTGAATTTTGCATGATTTCTATCATAGAATGACAGTGTTAAATTTAATTTTGCTTCTTTCAATAATAGATTGAATGCCAGCCACAGTTCAAGTAATGAGACGATCGAAGATGACGACGATGTTTACAGCAGTGAGGAAGAAGAACAAGAAGACAGCAGTGACTATTGCAAGGGAGGTTATTATCCAGTCAAAATAGGAGATTTGTTTTTGAATCGCTATCACGTCACGCGCAAACTTGGTTGGGGTCATTTTTCTACTGTCTGGCTTTGCTGGGATCTACAGGTAATTTGTGCATTTTAATTTTTTAAAATAATCACAATTTATTTTCTTTTAAACAAACAAAAAGTTATTTTTAAATTATAATCTTAACAATAAATTCACAGGTCTCAAACTCCTACAGATATCGTTTTTCATCAAAATCTTTTTCAGCTGATTCAACTATTTAACTGCACTGTTTAAAAAATTACTACTACTATGAGGCTTCGCACTCATCTACTAAAATCTACTATTCACTACTTTTTTTACAACTATTTGTTACTTTTTTAATACATTTTTTTAGACTGAAAAAAATTGTTAATAACATTTTTTAAAGATATTTGAATTCACTATTATAATTTAAAAAATATGAAATAATTGGAGTTTTTTACCTACTTTTAAGAATTATTTTTAAATATAACACCGTCCAACAAAATTAAAATTTTTTTGCACACATGCACTGAGAGAAGTCCGGGAACTAATATGTCCCATGCGAGCCTTGAGTTGTACTTTTGAATGTTTTTATGTGAACCCTCGAATTGGGACGTCTCAAGCCCCGATGCGAAACGTGGAACGTCCCGAAGTGAGATTACGCAGAACTTTCAGTTTTTGCCACCAGTTGTTTTCTCACATGCGAGAATAATGTTTGACCGGATTCGGGGCGTCTCAGCACCAGATTCGAAACAACTCAAACGCGACAAGCAGAGTAGCGCATATATAGCAACGTCTAGCGGGAACTATTACGTCTCGGACTTCTCTCAGTGTGAACGAACCAAGGATTTTCGGAAACTAGAGCCAAAAAATGATACCGGTGTCTGGCCGTTTTTCGAGATCAAGTCGTTTACGGTTTTCAGGATTAAAAGCAACCTTTTGGATTGGATTTTTGTATTGAGCTTCAATGGAAAAATCGCATCGACTTTGACAGAAGGTTACCAATTGTCTTGCAAAAAATCTTGAAAAATAGGAAACTTTTATTCAAAAATTGTTTTAACATTATTGGGACCATTAAAACAAATCTACTCTTACTAATATTTTAGGTCCAACTTTTAACCCCGAAACTACCCCTATTTCGATTTATTTTAAAAAATATCAATAAAACTAAATTTTTTTTATTTTTTAAAATGAATCGTTGAATAAGTGTAATCTAATATCTTTTAACAGCCTACAATTTTCAATTTTTCACCCCAACACTTATCGAGAAACCAACATATTGAATATTGTCTCATGATTTTTTTATTTTTATATAACTGCGTATATAAGGATTTTTGGTCTCGCTAATTACAGATCTGAAGTCAGTTTTTAGAAATTCAAAATAGTGCACAGTGGGAAAAAATACACGCTTCTGGACAAAATTCTGCTGATAAGTCAAATCTTAACGCCATGTATAGAAAGTGGCCACATATTAATTTCCTATTGGCGATTCAAACAGCTAAACTAGCGCACATAGTGGCGAAGTTTGAACTAACGAAACCGGGCCTCACTGCAGCCTTGTGTATAGAACTTCACGTGTATTCTGGCAATTTTTTATATTTTCCATTATTATTCCGAACAATTGCGATATAAGTGATAGGTATAGAGTCATTTTGGTCAAACTTGGACCAAAAAAATTCACAAATTTCAAACAATCTTATGAACATAAAAATAATTTTTTAAATTCAAACGTATTTTTTACAATTATTTTTCTTAAAAAATCTACACCATATGATGTTTTATATATTTTCTAGAATAGTTTTTTAGTACAGAAAAATAATTGTTCCAAATTTTTTTGGTCCAAGTTTAATGACCTGCATTTTCTAAGAAAAAAATTACACGTTAATGCCAATAAGTCATTCTTATAGTGTAGCAAATGACCTTTAAAATAAACCTAAGATCATTAAAAAGCTTTTATTATTTAAGAAGTTATTCAAATTTTTGTAAAACATTGAAAATACGATTTTTGAAAATTATCTAAATAAAATATTGGCCAAATGACTTCTGAAAGAACTTGTTCTTTTCAAAATTTTATTATCTTTCAAAAAATAAAAAGAAAAAAAAAATTTACTTTCTTACATTTTGTTTTAAAATGTATTTCAATCACCTGAAAATGGGTGGTCTCTCAATTTTGACTGGTAGTGTAATTAAAACAATTTTTTTCCTTTTTCATTATTTGCAGAATATTCCAACGAGTAATTTCGTTATTGTTTAATTGGAAAATATACAGAATTGAATAAAATATGGACAGTTAAAGTGAACAATTTAATTAAATTTTATGTTTTCAAAAAAATGGTTTTTCTTGAATATTTTGAAAACGGTAATAAGTTTTAAAATGTTGATTTTGATATCACGTGACAATTACAAAGTCAGGGTAAGACTGTCCAGGGTGGCCGCAAGTCAGGAAAAAACTGGAAATCAGGGAAAAGTCAGGGAATTTTGAAAATAAAATTTTGCGGCCACCCTATAAGATCTTCCTATCTTGCTTCCTATATATATGCAATGCAAATGAAAATAGTGTAATTTCATTGGAAATTTAATAAGCTTTCCAACGCAATTAAAAAAAGCATCTAGCTTCATTTTTGACGGAGTTATCACTGGCTTTTTTATAGCTCGAGGTGTTAGCGGTATGTCGCATAAACATTTCCATATTTTTAATATTATCGTCTACATAATACTTACATTAATGAGAGCATTATGCGCTTCTTCAGTTTTAAGTCACTCATACCAACGTTTTTGATTGCTCTCATTAATCTCGGATAATCAAACTTACAATTGCACTGAAAAACTGTTGGCAGAACTGTTCGCCCAATGCGCTGAAGTGCTGCGTTGAAATAAGAAACGCACAGCTCACTTTAGTTTTGGGAGAGTAATAGCGAATTCGGTTATCTGCTCCGAGAGCGATCTTGCTCGGTGTAGGAGTATAGTTTACTCTGCTCTCAAAAAGCTGTGCTCTACTCTGAGGCACTCTATGACGTCATGAACACTGGCAAAGTTCGACTGTTTTTGGAGCAGGAGCACAACATGAACTGCTATGGTGTAAAGCATACACTGCTCGTTTGGCGCGAAGTTTATATTTAATTAAACTTATATAATATAATATAATGTAATATAATATTATATTTATTATATTATATATATTATTATACATTATATTATGCAATATATTTTCTTCATAAATGTACAATTATTTTACTTAAAATTAAATATTTTATGATGTATACATCAATAATATTTTTAAAAGCAAAAAATTTGATATTTTTATTAGAATTTTAAAATTTTATTCGGTCAATGTTTTGATATAGCAGAATTGTTAATCACAAAATTATCGAATAATATTTCTGATATAAATTTTGTTTACACTATTTGACATTTTGAACTACTAACAACAACAATAATAAAATAAGTGAAAAGGTTATTTCTTTGAGACCAAATAATTACTTTATAATGAGTATTTTTATTTAAATATTAAAAATATTGAAAATTATTTACTGTTTTTATTAAATATTAAAATATTGAATGTTAGTCTTTCTCTAAATACAAAATTCATTATAAAAAACATAATTCGTCTTCACTACTATCGCTAGAGGTGTCAATTAAATCTGTTAGAAGTGAAATTTTTAAATTTGCCGCTTCTCTTGACATTTTTTTAAACTGCACTAACAAAATTGTGGGAGCAAATTTTGTTGCACCTTTCGATCCTTGAGAGTGCACACTTCTTAATTCGAACACAAATAACGATCTGCGCCGGAGCAGTGCTGCCAAAACGAATACTCGAAACGATCTGCGCCGGAGCAGTGCTGCTAAAGCGAATACTCCAAACGATCTGCACTAGAGCACATTTGTCAAACCGAACATGCTACTCCTGCTCTGGAGCACTCCGAGAGTGCTCCGGTGCAGATAACCGAATTCGCTATTAAAGTCGCGTTTATTTGAATCCGTTTTTGCTTCAGTTATTTTTAGTTAGAATCCGCCCTAACCCCACTTATTTTAGCTCATGCGCAGTACGCGACCAATGGAAAGATACTTACATTCCCATTGGTTGAGTTCAAACAAAACCAACTAATCATGTCAATTTATCGAATTACGTCACCAATATAGGTTATGTCGACCAAAATACAAATAAACGCGACACTTCGTGTCGAATTGCTTGAGCCATGTTCAAATAAGTGGGGTTTCAGTGTAGTACTTATCAGACAGCGGTGACAGAACCAAAGTTAAATCTCCCTCGTACGCTTAAATATACATCGGAGCACCAGAGAAAGTTAAGGTTGATTCTTCCCAATAATTCCTCTTTGATTATTATTGTGAATCCTAATTTCTTTTATTCTTTTGTTGCTGGATTAATGACTCCTGCACTGGAAAAAAGTTGGTGTGATTTTTGTTGCGTGTTAAATTAACCAATGTTAAACGACATAGAATGTGGCGCCACCTATGACGGTTAAATTTGTTGCGTGTTATTTTAACACCAAATTCGGTGTTAAAATAACACTTTTTTATTTTCTGTGTGGCCAAGATTGCGCGAATGACGAGATAAATTGGCGTCTTCACCAAAATTCATTCTCCTGCAACCCGAAATACGTCTCAGTATAAAGATAATCAATTATTGCTTCAATGGGTATTTGGCCCCTGCTTCGAATGGGGATTTCAAAAAGTACCATTTTCGATACTCAGACCTTCAGTATCGATAACCCCCCTCCCTCATCTGAGGATTTACGTACACTCCTCAGAGAGGAACTGAAATTTGTAAGCGACACATTTACTGCTGAATTTCACAACCTGAATACTATACAATTGCCAGTCCATCAAGTCACTTGAAAGCCGTCAATACAAAAATTAATGTTTGCGTTACTGAAACTTACACCACCACTATTCGAGTGGATGCATTGGAAAACAAGGTCAAAGAAATCATGCAAGATAATTCCTCTTCAAATGTTTACTGGAAACTGTTTAATTCTTGTTTACTGGAACATAACGATCGCCTCAGAAGACGTAAAAATCTTATCACTATACCTTCACAGATACGCAGCTCATTCATTACTTTAAAAACAAGTTGTAAATCCAGATGTTCATTACATGAACATTTTGCTTCCTCTTTACGATCAGCAAAAAAAATTTGCTTCCTCGCGGAGGAAGCATTAACGATAAATATATTTCATTTTTAAATCATTTTTAATACAATTTAACATTTATAAAATAAAGTGCATTCCTCTTAATAGAAAGAATAAAATTTTCTTATACAGTAATATGTATCTAAATAAACAAAAAAATTTTTAGTAAAAAAGTGAATTTTTCAAATTTGATTGTAATTAATTCTATAATTTTCAATAGAATATATACTTTAAATACATAAATCGATTCGTCTTGATGCAAAGAATAAGATTTTTGATTTATTTTTCAATAAATAATAACATTTTATTGTACAGCAACATGACTTTTTAAGAAAAAATGAATTTTTATTAATAGTGCAAATTTTTTGTCTACAATTGGTTTTAATTCTATAAATTCAAATACAATATATACTTTATATATACCAATCGATCCGTCTTGGTGCAAAGAATAAGATTTTAGAAATAAATGAGTAAGATTTTCTTATACGGCAACATAATTTTGCGGAAAGAACTCATTTTTTGATAAAAATGCGAATTTTTCATCTTTAATTGTGATTAACTCTGTAAATTCTCATACAATTTATACTTTTTATATACCAATCGATTCGTCTTGATGCAAAGAATAAGATTTTATTATATATTAACTTCAATAACCAACTTAAAAAAAATTTTTTAGAAAAAAGTCAAAAAAAAAAATTTTTTCTGAGAATTTTTTAAAGTCTATTAATCCATTTCGATATATTGGTATGATAAATATACCTGGTAAATTTTAGCCAAATTCGTTAAAACCTCTTCCAGTTATCGTGTTCACAAAAATCGGGATCCATACACACACACACATCCATACATACATCCGGATAATTGTTCAGGGTCTTATATAACATAGTCCTATTAGAAGAAAATTTGTTAAAAGGATTTTTAAAAATTTTGTAAATTAAACGACTACAAAGCTTCCTCACGAGGAAGCAAAAGCAATGCAACTACCTCTAGAATATGCAGAGATTTCGATTGCCCTCGACAGTACCAAATATTAGCAAACAGAATACCAGCGTGTTAAAAGGGAGCGATTGACAAGAGCTTCTCAAGGTGAAAAGAAGCTCAAGATTTCCTACCGCCTGGAATCTTCTATCGTCACATCAACATAAACAGTGCGTTACGAATCTATTATAAAAAGACACATGGTATAAACTCGAAATAAATCTTATTCGAATGCTTTCCCGACCTACATTATTATTTAGGAAATCTACTAACTGGGAAAACTGGGAATTCAAAAACTGAAAAATAGTAGACACCCTGTTATTCGATTTATGTCGATATATATCAGATGCTATGTTTTCTAACAACATTGAGTTAAACACCCCCGATTCTATTGTTAACGCCTTTGCCAACTTTTTTTCCCTTCATCCTAAAGCAACTTTCTTTTCCACCGTCAGTAACCATATAAATCAACTATATTTTTGTCTATGAATTCCGACTTAGACTTGTTCTTTTCATCTATTTAACAATTTACCAGTGCTATGGATTGTTACATTAAAGGACTCTCTGACGATTAATTTTTATACGTCGGCCACATATATCTTTGTATTCCATCTTAAATTTTTCATAGAAATTACGCATAATCTGATATTGTTTTATCACACATTCTACGATTAGGTGGTACGACTTCTTGTTACCCATTTCCCGGCCGAAAAACCTTGTACAAGATCATACGTGAGAACATGTGCAAGGACTTTGATATAAGATCTTGTACACGAACTTGTGTATAATGTTCAGCCCAAGGATTTGGAACAAAGAACGTGTGCTAGAACATGCATATGTCCTTATAGGGTGGACACTTTTTCAAACCCGAATTACGCCGTAAGATTAAAGACCGGGAGCCTACACCTTTTCTTTAAGGTTTTGAAGTTTATCATAGCCTGGATTAATGAAATATTTTTTCAATAAATAATTCACGGTATCTCAGGTTGTGTTTTCAGAAACTGCTATCTTATGAAAGAACAGCTCAAGGCTTAGATTGAATTAGGTAACACAACTGAAGAAACACTTTTTTGAACCTTGTGGTCTGTTAGATGTTTGGAAGGCGATGTCGGCTCAGTCTCTAATGAAGGATTTTTTCAATGAACTTTCTTCGTTCGAGAAATGGCTAAACATTTTTGTGTCAAAAGACCCGGTGTTTATTAAGAGATTTGTAAGGTTTATAGCGTCTGTACTTGATGATCGAACGACTGTGATTTAGTGATACTATCTCTGTAGTTTTTATATTGTAATCTTTTTATTATGTATTCCCCTTGTAGACACTAATTGTGTCGTGGACTAAAACATTATGCTACTTTGCATAATGTAAAAAATTTATTAAGTAAAAATAAATATTTAAATAATGCTTAAGTTTTTGTTCTTTATAATTCAAAATTTAAATATGTTATGTTTTTCACTTGAAAATAGAGTCGAATGTCTGGAAATTTTAGTGTTGATAATTGTTTTATAAACTGATTCATCTTAATGATCTGAATGATTTTCAGGATAAACGATTTGTGGCCCTGAAAGTGGTCAAGTCGGCATCTCACTTCACGGAAACTGCACTTGATGAAATCAAGCTTTTAAAAGATGTTCGTGACACTGATCCTAGTGATCCTAAACGCAACAAAACCGTCCAGTTGCTACATGACTTCAAGATAAGAGGCATCAATGGATTGCACGTTTGTATGGTTTTTGAAGTACTTGGACACAATCTACTTAGACTCATTATTAGATCTAATTATCGAGGGATTCCAAGAAATAATGTTAAGCGAATAATAAGACAAGTTCTTGAGGGTTTGGATTACCTTCATAATAAGTGTAAGTTCATACTTCGAAGAATCCAATTTTCATATTATATTAATTTCTTCATTTTAATTATATGTTTGAATGTGTTTCTATTTTTCAGGTAAAATAATTCACACCGACATAAAGCCCGAGAATGTTTTAATTTGCGTTGATGAGTCCTATATAAGAAAATTGGCTTCTGAAGCAACCGAACTGCACTCATTGGGCTTGAAATTACCAGTTTCTCTTATATCAACTGCGCCGAAGGAATTTCAGGAACCAATTATTAATGCGAAAATGTCAAAGAACAAAAAGAAGAAATTAAAAAAGAAAGCAAAACGACAAAATGAACTTTTAAAGAAGCAAATGGAACAAATTGAGGAGATTGAGGAACAAGTAAAACCAACGGACGATGTCAAGGAAAATGGAGACGTTGAGGTGCATGAACCGAACAGTCCCGATCAAGATGTCACCACGGAAAGTATGGAAGATAACGTCGAAAGTAAAGAATCTCCTGATACATCAGAACCATCTATTCCATCTTTGCATGTGAATGGTGTCGATGGACTGGCTGGTGGTGAAAAAATTGAGAATCAAATGAATGAACAACAGAAAATTGAAAACGTCATTCTGAGTGATGTGGAGAAAAGTTGTGGAGAGGGTGTTGTGTCCCTTGATTTCCCCGAGAAAGACGAATGTAGTGATGGTAAGTAAATTTAATTACAGGGTATATTCTGATAAAGTAAAAACTTGTGTTAATTTGAAAATACTTAAATTTGTCAGATAAAAACGACAATTTATCTAATAAGAAGGAAGGGAAACGAACATCTGTTGCTCCACTGGATCCAGCACTAGTGGACTGTGACGTTGAAGTAAAAATAGCCGATCTCGGAAATGCTTGTTGGGTTTATAAAAAATTCACTGAAGATATTCAAACTAGGCAGTATCGATCACTTGAAGTGTTGTTGGGAGATGGATACAGCACATCAGCAGACATCTGGTCAACGGCTTGTATGGCTTTTGAACTTGCAACTGGTGACTATCTTTTCGAACCACACAGTGGTGAAGATTACTGCAGGTAAGTTTCAATTTCACTCTAATAATTTCATTTAATCACTAATTTGACACGCCTGTTTTGAACATTTTTTCGAATTTAAACCCTTTTATGACCCTATTTCATTCGGTTGAACGATATAAAACGTGTAATCTTGCATTTTTTATATATGGATGATTTTTCGCAAACTGTGATATTTATATTCCTAACGTGTGTATTAACTGCATGCTAATGAATTAACGTCCTGCTTCATATAAACTATATTGGGGAATCATTATTCTAAGTGGACGCACAAGGAAAAGTTGTTCGTTTTAACCCATATCAATATAATTAATTGATAATTTTATAAGTAATTTAAAATTTATGAATTTTTAGTAAAATTAAGATGTTTTTACTTAAAAGAAATTCTTTGTCTTTAACCTTTCAATGTGTCAGGCATTTTTATGCATCCGATAAATGGGGGTCCGACAATTGGATTTACAAAACTTTTGATGATTGATGGTAATGTGGTTGAACTTAACCTATTGTTTAATAATAACGTATTATAAATAATTAAATTAAATTTTGTTCTTGGTTATTTTTTGTATTGTGACGAACTCCGCGAGTCTTTAAATAATTGTAAAAGAGCGAAAAACAGGGTTCGGGTCACGATAGCCGACACAATAAATTGAGCAGAGATTCCATAATCCATGAAAAGGCAATCCAACCTGCGACGCAGTTCGATGATCAGTTGCGAATCGAGACGAGCCACACAGATGAGTAAAGATTGATCAAACTTACCAAGTTTGCAGATTGTTGGATCGCTGATAAGACGAAAAATAATCCTATTAGAAAGAAGGCGCACAACACAAGAAAAACAATAAGATTAATAATTGAAAAACATTTCATTAAAGAATAAATGTAAACTATATACAAAATAACAAAGATGCGACGCAGCGCATCGATTACGCGCGGAAAATTGCGGTTTGAAGTCTCGCTTCTCTCTGATGAGAGAATCGCTTGAGATCGTCAATTCAGGGTGGCGAGCTGACCGGGAAAAACCGGGAATTTTTTTTATACCGGGAATTTCTTGTGTTTTTTCTACTATTTGTTCTTTAAATTTGTTAAATATCCAAAAATGATAACTTTTTTTAATTTCACGAATGTAACTGTAGTTTAAAATTACTAATGACATAGTAAACTAAAGACATAGTTTGTTTTCATGCTTTTTCGTTCTCATTCTTGATCATTTAAAAAATTATACAATAATAGTGTTTAATTGTTAATAAAAATTTGACCGGGAAATTTTATAAAATTGACCGGGAAATGACCGGGAATTCAAATTTAAAAAAAATCTCGCCACCCTGGCTCATCGTGATCCATGACACGTTTCGTGTCTGGCCCGATCGATCGGTGGCCTATCAAAAGTCTGCTGCTGACCCAAAGGTCTCTCAGTGTAAACTATAAAATTATCACGAATTCTAATACAAAACCTTTAATTTTTTTAATTTCTGACAAAAATTTCTTTTTAAATAACTTAAATCTTAAACAACTATCTTAAAATAAATAAATTATTAAATGAATAATTTAACTTAAATATTTCAAAATTTATTCAATTTTGAAAGAGTTGCGTTTACAATTTTCATAAATAAATGCACTTCAAACGGTTTCAATTTGAAATTTTATAAAATTTCAATGGTAAATGAATTTAATTAGAAATTTTAATGAACTTAGATTTTTGAAAAATTTTAATAATTCAAAATCTTCTAAATTGAGTTAAATTTGTCACTATATTTAATTAATTATTAAAAATAATAGACTTATAGAAGAATTTTAGTTAAAAACACTAAAAAAAAATTGGATTTTGAAGAAGTTACAAATGATAGCAGAATTTCAATTATTTTCAAAACAATTTTAATCAAATTCCTTGAAAAATGTAACAATTCAAAAACATTTTATTAAAATTTGTCAAAAGAATTCAATTATTTAGTTAATAAAATACTTTATAAGAATTAAATTTTAAGAAACATTCAATTATTATTCAATAAATAATTTACTTTTGTATTTAAATAATTGAATTTTCTAATAAAAATTGATTTGAAAATTAATTTTAGATTAAATTTTAGATAATAATAGAATATGAAAATTTTTAAGAAGTTACAGTAACAATATTCTTAAAATATAAAATAATGATTTTAACACTCGATCCTCTTTAATTGCGTTATAAAACAAGAAGAAGCCGAGTCTTCGACTGGGAGTAATCGTTATCTTTATGTTTTATAACAATATTTTTAAAGTTGATTAATTTCAAAAATAATAATAATTAAATATTTAAAACATTTAAAAAAGAAATTATTGTTTTCGAATAATTTTACAATTAAAGATATTCGTAAATGAATTTAACAGAACATTTTTTTCAATAAAATAATTTACATTATTTTCTAAAAATTCAAAAATTTTCAGTTTCATTTTCTATTTAATGTTCTAATTGATAAATATAATTTATAAACATTTTTTTCCTTTATATATTTAAAAGAAACTTAGAATTTTATTAAAACAATTGAAATGAAGAAATAGAATTGATGCAAATTATTTCCTTATGAAAATTGAGGATTTTTTACAAAAATAATAAGAAACGGAAATATCTAATATTTTCTTTCTGTCAAAAGAAAAAAATGAGTTTGTAAACAATATTGATATTGAGAAATAAAAATTATGCATAAAATGGGTACATTTTCTACTTCTTAGTAAAATTTTTTTAACAATTAACAATTTTCTAGTATTTTTTATAAATAAAGAGGAGAATAATTTGCATAATAATTTAGATCAGTCAAACGAAATTTGTTATAGAAAATTATAACAAACAAAATGGGTATATTTTTTATTTGTTAATCATAATTTTTTAAAAAATTTCAAATTTGTAATATTATTTTATTATAAATCATAAAAAAATTCTTGCATATTTTCGATTTGTGAAACAATATTTTTTAAAGAAAAAAAAACAAAAGCATACAGAGAAACTAACTTCAAACTACGAACAGAATGAATGTAAAAATACGGAGATTAATATAGTTAATTCTTTTTTAGGGACGAAGATCACCTAGCGCATATAATTGAACTTCTTGGCGAGATACCTCGACGAATCGCTCTTTCTGGAAAGCATTCACGATTGTTTTTCAATAAGAAAGGGGAATTGAAGCATATTACCGGCTTGAAGCCATGGGGATTGTGTGCTGTCTTGATAGAAAAGTACGATTGGTCAGCCAGTGAAGCGCGAGAATTCGCTGATTTCTTAACTCCAATGCTTGAATTTGATCCGGATTTACGAGCCACGGCAGCCGAGTGCTTAAAGCATCCATGGTTGCAAATCAAGTGATTACGTTTTCATGTTGTTTTAATCAGTAAAAATTTCTAATCGTTTTATTGTCCCAATGCAATCATAACCGAGAATGTGATAGGTAATAATATTTACTGGATAATTTACTGAAAATTTTCATAATCATCATTCAATTATTATCAACTTTTTACCGAAAGCAAAAACGTTTGGTTAAAGTCAAATCCCTGTGTCTCATTATTTTTTGTCTTCATTAATTTTAAATTTATTCAATTTGACGAATGATTTATTATCAAACTTATTAAAAATGATTTCATCTGCCAAATGATGTCAAATTTTTCCTGACAATTTTTTGCTTTCTTTTAACAATAAAAATTTATTTTATACATACATTTTTTAGTATTTTTTTTCTTTTAATTAAAAACTGTACACAATTCTACTATTTTATTAAGGATTAGGAGAAATGATTTTTAAAATTGTTATCACATTCCATCCTTTATTTTTTGAATTGGCGTCAGTTTCTCGACTATTTTGTCAACTATCTATCAAAATTGTATTGTCACTAATGGTTAAATTAAATTTTCACTTCATTTTCAATCATTCTTTTACAATTCATACTTGTTTTCTCTCGTCTGAAGAGATAACAACACAATCAAAACTAATGCTAAAAGTTATCGAGATAACTCTTGTAATAATACTACATTTTTTGTCATTTAAGATCTTTTACCCTCGTGTATTATTAATTTGTATAAACTTTGGTAAAGTAAAAGAAAGAAAGAAAGAAAATTATTTAATTGAAAAAAGCAGATGAATGATTTTATATTTTGTTGACACTAAAGAAGATCGGTGCTGCTTTGCACACAGACTGAAGCATAATACTCATGTGCGATGAGCAGCGTTCTTATTTTGAAAAAATATTAATGTGTTGGGCGAGTTATATTAAAAAAAAAAATAGAAAACAGTGTGTGACGACGATACGTCAAACTTTTTTAAATAATGAATCAATCCTTCGATTTTTCAAATAACTGGACTATCATCATGTGTTTTATAAGACGTGATTAAAAAACTTACTGCAAATCTAATTTTTAAAATGAAGAAAACGCAAATCGAACATTATTCAAATGATGAGCCAAAAATATAAATTATTGACACGTTTTTTCTGCAATCGAAAACAGCACTTTGGCCGAAAATCGTCGTCTCATTTGTAATTCAAAAGAATGAAAAGAGAAAAGAAACTACAACAGATAATAATATTAATGCGAAGAAATTAATGCGACTAGAATTTATAAATAATACAATTTGTAGGACCACTGAAATGCTTTGTGACGTCTCCTTCTTATTTAAAAAAAAATTATTCCCAAAAACATTTTTCGAAAAAATGTCCACGGAAGATAATCCTTTATTTGAGACAACTGATCCCACATAGCAAAGTCAACTATGTACTAGAAATATTGAAAAAAATATATAGTATTTAACGGACGAAAAATCGTGATCCCATACGTTAAGCTGCTCCCCGATTACAATCGTTGGACAATTAACTATGCATTCTCTTATCTTACTGGAGTTAACAAACTTTAAAGAAATACTTCTATGAAAAATAGCAGTCGTATAAAATTTGTACAGTGAATACATTAAATTACGTAAAATTAGTTGGTAATAATATTGTTTTACGAGGTCCGATGAAATCTATTGCGTTTAGTCAAATAAAACTCAGTTTGGCTTCAGTAATTTAACAGTCTTGAGTTGATTAAGTAAATTCATTTTTCCAATTTCGTTCATAAATTATTTCAACATTTTTTTTAAATTGTTAATTCACTTGTATGCAATTTCTTAAATTGTGATGAGTTAATTAACATTTACATACCCCTAATTTTTTTTACAACATATCCAACTCCTCTATTCCTTTTGTTTAATAATTAAATGAAATTGGAATATTTTTTAAGCCCAATTGTGCGAATCTATTGAAATTTGCCCACGGATTTTTTTAGCTATATTCGAAAAAATAAATTTTATATAAAAATTCAACATATTACTTAATCATAATATTTTCGTAAACATTTCGTTTCTTTTCATTTCATTATTAATTAAAAAGATTAACATTCAAGATAATATTTCGTAACTTTAAAACTCGTTACTAATGCTACTAAGATCATTAAAATTTAATACGATTTAAAAACTCAAATGACATTGAATTTTTTCTCATTTTCAGAATTTTATTCGACTTCCACAACTTAAAAATTAATAAAGCACATAACTTGGAAAAAATTCAACAACTTTTAAACTTTTGATAATTTTTTTTATCTTTTCATTAATAATTTATATAAAGGAAATATTTCGACGTTAATATTATATGGTTAATGTATATATTTTAAAAAATGTAATTTTTTTAATATTAAACTTTTTTCTAAACGTACCTACATCAGCTCTTAGATTGATTTCAATAAATTCACACAATTATATTGTACTTTCGTTTTTTTTCTTAACCCATTTAGTCCCAAATATCCGTTTTTCTTAGAACCAGTTCAAGCTTTCCGTTCTACGAGTTACGAATTTTAAAAAAATCGGGATGTAACTTTTTTATAGTTTTGAGTCACCTTTTTCAGAATCTGAAAGAAAATTTCAATTTCGATTTAATAATAAAATGTTGTAATTGTTTAAACAAAAAAAAGTCGTTTTTTGAGTGTTTTCTTCTTTAAAATCAAATTATTTAATCGAAATCGGTTTGGAAAAAATACGGAACATCAAAATATCGCGTCCAAAATGATAGAACTTTCAAATTGGCATGATGTCGACAAATTTTTTTTTCTAAATTTCAAAATGGCCTCTCAAAAATGACCGCCAAAATTGGAAAAATAAATTTTAAATATTCCAACATTATTTTTTTTTAACTTTTATACTTCATTTGAATAAAATAATGCTGTTTCAATAAAAAATATTGTTATCGGATGTTATTTAACAATATTATAAACAATTAAAAAACCATGGGGCAAAGTGGTAACAAAATTTTATTTTCAGCAATTCTTTTTTTTTTTTTTGCAGTGAAAATAGATATTAAAAGTTAAAAAATTAATTCAAAATTATTGAACAATGTGTTTTTCTTTATTTGCTTTGTTTGTCATTAGAATAGATATGTTATAAACAAACCTTTGTCTGGAATTATTTAAAAAATTTTATCAATGTTAAAAGCAATTTTTATAAACAATTGTTTACATTTTCAAAATTTTTTATAGAAATTGTCTTTAACATTGATACAAATTTTTAAATGTCTTCAACATATCTATTCTCATGACAAACAAAGCAAATAAAGGGAAAAAAAATTTTTTCCTACCCTTTAATTGTTTTTTTATGATAATTATTTATAAAAATTAGTTATAAAATTTTTAAAAATTGCTAAATAATGATAAATGAGAGTTTATTATATCTTTAACAAAAATTTTGATTACTAGAGGGCATTTTATTATTACAAAATGCTTTTTTTCTATAATGGTACTTCATATTTTGCAAATTGTTTATAAGAATTGTTTATAACATTTTTATACATTATTTTCAAATTTTTTATAAACGGTAGATACTTCAGTTTTCATTTTAATGACAAAAAAAGTTAGTGGGAAAGAAAAGAAGATTTTCTCCACTCTAAACATCTTTTTTTGTCAAAACTGTTTATAAAAATTGTTAATAACATTGATAAAAATTTTTAAATAATTTCTGACAAAGGTTTGTCTTTAACATATCTATTCTAGTACACTGAAAAAAAAGTGCTGTTGAATCAAATATCTCCATGCTATTGAATTCCCCGTCATTGATTCAATGACACATTTATTAATCGAAAAGTATATTGCTTAAAACGAAAAAATGAAACTGTTTAAATTAAAAGTACGGTACTGTAGAATTAATGATATTGTGCAAATTGTTTCTATAGTTCATCTATATATAGCAACAGAATAATTTATTGCTTCTTTGACATTATTCATTTGAAGCATCTAATAGATAAATTTGAAGAAAATGCATGTAAATTTAAATCAAATGAAAAATTGTTTGCTCTAAAGAAGCGCGCTCTGAAAACGAAAGCATATGCTTTCGTTTCAATGAGTGGTGCTATTGCGGACTGCCTATAGCATATGCTATAAAAATAAGAACACTATGTTTTGAGACATTGACAGGTACTAAATTTATTGAAATACTTACCCACATATATTTATATGTTTATTAAACCTGTCATTTTTGAGATTCTAATATAAAAAAGTATTATTTAAATTCTTTTAATTAATTAATGACTAGTTAAATATAAATTCACTATATAAATTCCCTTATATACGCGAAAAATCTCGAGCACGGTATTTAACCACAAAGTAAGTGCCCAACGTTGAGAAGCGGATGTATTACATTGCAGCGCGGCGGTTCTCGTCTATCACGGAAGTTAAGCGTCGTTGGTCGCGGTTACTAAATGGATGGGTGACCGCTTGGGAATAGCCGTATTTTTCTGACTAAAAAAGATAAGTGTGTTTGAATGTGTATGTGTGTGTGTGTGTTTAGCCGTTGGGAAAAATGAAAATAATAATAAAGATGTATATGTTAGTGTGAAAAATTGAAAAAAAGATGTGTATAAAAAGTGTTGTGTTAAAGGTGTGAGAATTAATTATAGTATATAAAAAAACATGTGAACAAAAATTCCCTTTTTTCAATTTATCGTTGGTATATATTTAATCACATAAAAGAATTGAATTAACAGTATGGTGTTATTCAATCGATAGCAACAACTAAAAAATTAAAAGTACAAATTTTTGAATTATAAAAATGATGCTTTTAAATTTAAAAGTTATAGTCATTGACTCAAAAGCATATACTGTTAAATTAAAAAATTTTGTTCATTGATTCAAAAGGAATACCTTCGAATTAACATAGTATGCTGTCAATTTGAGAAATATGCTTTTGTTTCAAAGAAAGTGATACTATCGAATCATTAGAATCGGTGCTTTCAAAACAACAGCATATACGTTAGGCAGCCCGTTATGACACTATTCAATGAATCAAACCCATATGTCATTGATTCAACAGCATTTTTTTCTCCGTGTATAATAAACCAAGTAAATAGTGAAAAAAAATGTTTACTCTAAACTTCTTTTTCTATGAAAATTGTTTATAACATTTTCAAATATTGTTAAATAATGTTAAATTGAAGTTTAAACATTTAACATTTTGATTACAAGAAGGCATAATATAATTAAAAAATAATTTTTTCTACGATTCTATTTCATGTTTAGCAAATTGTTTATAACATTCTTAAACACTATTAAATAATTTTGAATTAATTCTTTTACTTTCAACATCCATTTTCACTGGAAAAGAAATAATTGCTGAAAATAAAATTTTTTCTACCATTTTGGCCCATAGTTTTCAAATTGTTTATAAAAATTGCTTATAGTATTGTTAAATAACATCAGATAACAATATTTTTTGTTGAAACAGCATTATTTTATTGGAATGAAGTATGAAAGTTAAAAAAAAATAATGTTGGAATTTTTTAAAATTATTTTTCCAAATTTGAAAATTTTGGCGGCCATTTTAGAGACACCATTTTTGAAATTTGAAAAATAAAATTTTCGGCATCATGCCTATCTGATAGTTTCAACATTTTAAACGCGATATTTTGATGTTCCGGATTTTTTCCAAACCGATTTCGATTAAATAATTTGATTTTAAAGAAAAAAAAACACTCAAAAAACGGCTTTCTTTCTGGAAAAGGACACTCAAAACCATAAAAAACTTATGTCCCGATTTTTTTTTAAATTCGTAACTCGTAGAACAGAAAGCTTGAAGTTGTTCTAAGAAAAACGGACATTTGGGACAAAATGGGTTAAAGAGCTGACATTTTACTAATGTAATACATTTTTTTAGAGATTTCAATAATTTATTGTTTATATTCTGCTCTCTTTAATTAAGATTCTTTATTATCCGAATTTTCAAATATCGTCTGGTTATTTTCCATCTACATGAGCAGCAAAAGTGTTTTAAGTGATTTTATTACAGTGTTTTATTGTTATAATATTGTACTGGATTATAATTGAGATTGAAAAAAAAATTTCTAGTTTTTCCAAAATTATTTAAATAAATTTTTATTAAAAATTACTGTTCAGTCACAACGTTATGTTCATTAAATTATTTCATAAATTAAATTATGTAACATTTTTTGTTTTCTGAACTTTCCTTTTCAAACTGAAGATGATTTTTCTATTAAGTTACTTTCAATAAAACAATGAAGAATAATAAATAATAATTAAAGAAAATTATTATTGATATTTTTTTGTTTACTTATTTAATAAACTATTTAAAAATATTAGTGCGATAGTAATAAATAAAATGCACGTTTTGCTGCAATGATGATAATTTTTTGAAATTTTAGTTTATTGCAAAAGCGTATATTTTTATGTAGACGATTTCATAAATTATACATTCGAAAGTAGAATAAAATGAAATTGACCATGAAAAACTAACGTAAATAGATTTCAATGAATTGCCAGTATTTTCGCGTAGATCGCAATACACAATATATAAAAGCAATATAATTTCAAAATAGTTCCCAATTCTATTTAAAAACTTGAAAAAAAGGGATATGAAAGAAGGAAAGGAAGAAAATATGTACAGTTTGATATCCAAAATTTGAACTTGGATTTAACAAATTCTAAGTAAACATTTGTTACCAATTAGAAATAAATATGTACTTCCACTTA